CAGGTCAGGTTGGACTAAGAAGACAAACAAGCATCATAGAAGGCAATGGCAAACCCATTTCTGTATTGCCAACATAAGTGTGTTTGTGAAGTGTCCAGTATTTGATCCTAACTCAAGAGAAATTTTACCTTTGCTGAACCAGTCAATATTTATTCCATTCATATTCATTCTGAGTATACATAGAGAATCAATTCAAGAAATTGGCTTAATTTATTCGACTGTTGTTAATTAGGGTATAATCGTATGGCATTTTGAATAACCTCCCAAGGGCCATAGAACTTATTTATATTCATCACTTCTAACCCTTAAAGAGCCACTCAGTCCCCAATTTTTGTACCAACAGTGAGTGAAACTGAGGCAGGATAGTACTGGATCCAAGATATTTCAATTCCAACACCGCCTGGATCCTTTAAGTAATCTCTGCCAAAGGAATAATTATTCCAACCATCATTAATGATCTATTCAATTATTTTTAATCCTGGTAATCAGAAGAAGAAATGGAGAAAATAAATCCAGAAATGCAGAGAATATCTATTTTCTCTCTTCTATTCTTCCCAGTTTCACTGGAGGTTGCTGGGCTTTGGAGAATGTTCTAAAATATACTCTACGATGGCCTTAGCATTAACCTATAAAAATATTTCTAACTTATTTTCCAATTATAGTTGCCCAAGATAGTTTAAACCACTGATTTAGCTTCAATTAAAAAATTCAATATTCAACAAATAAAGGTAAAGGTAAAGGTTCCCCTTGCACATATGTGCTAGTCGTTCCCCACTCTAGGGGGCGGTACTCATCTCCATTTCAAAGCTGAAGAGCCAGCACTGTCCAAAGATGACTCCATGGTCATGTGACTGGCATGACTAAATGCCAAAGGCGCACAGAACGCTCTTACCTTCCCACCAAAGGTGGTCCCTATTTTTCTACTTGCATTTTTTTTTTTTGAACTGCTTTCGAACTGCTAGGTTGGCAGAAACTGGGACAAGTAATGGAGTTCACCCCATTACGTGGCACTAGGGATTTGAACCACTGAACTGCCGACCTTTCGATCGACAAGCTCAGCGTCTTAGCCACTGAGCCACCACATCCCTTATCCAACAAATACTAAAGCTAAAAACAGTAATCTCAATAAAACTAAGCAATCAAATCAAAGGATAATCATATCAAAATTACATAGATAAAGAGAGAGGGGAGGAGAGAGAGATTGAGGGGTGGGCTTTAATTAAATTGTATTACTACAACAAATATTTGAAATTTATTTTGAGTAAGATACACTATTTATACAAGTTTAAGAAAATTTGCAAAAAGACATGGGTTGGGTGGATCATTATTAAAACAATGATGGTCCCAGGCATAATCATATTTAGGAAAGCATTATAGAAGTACAGGCTACCATAGGAAATTTCTCCTCTTTAATGCCATTTGATTTAATTCTTATGTCAATCTCTGCCTTAGATTCTACCAGAATAGGGAAGCTGATAGATGGTCCTTCAGACATGGCCCTACAGGATATGTAGAGCTTTAGCTATTAGTACTGACTTGCATCTGGGAACTAGTACATATCTGTCAACCTTCTAAATCTACATACTTTAAACCTTCTTAGAGCAGCTTTCATAATAAATCTTTCATTGTACTCCAGCAGTGTGGAACACAAGAATGCTAATTGTTAGCACATTTCTTAGTGCTACCCAAGCTGTGGAATAATTTAGAGCAGGGGCCTCCAACCTTGGCAACTTTAAGACTTGTGGACAAGTCTTAAGGTTGCCAAGGTTGGAAGCCCCTGATTTAGAATACAAAGTTGTGGCAGAAGTGATCTCCAATTGCAGTTACATAGCTGGCTTTGCCATAGTGTCCTAGTTTTCACATAAATCTAAGCCATATAACTCCATTTACATATTACGGTGCGCAACAGGTTAAGCCAAAACTAAACAAATTACATAATGATTGATTAGGATCATTCATTTTGCATTGGCTGGCCATTTTAAGAATGAGAAAGGGATTGATTCTGAGAATTGGGTTGAGTTTACATTACTATGCAAAGCCAGAATGTGGTTTGGTTAGTTTGGACTGAATCCGTTGCATGAATCCAAATACTAGGATCTGAAAACTGAGTTTAAACTTGCATGAAACTCATCAGCGGTGTTTACTGAATAAACAGTAGTCAGATAGGTGTTCATGCAAGTATAAGGAAATTTGGAAGAAGTTAAAGATTTCCAATCAGAGTTCAAATATCTGTTAACAAATGCTAAAGTCTTAATGCCAAATCCATAGTTGAACAATATCTTTCTTATGATCAAACTGTTTGTTGAGGAATTCGCAGAGCAACCCTTGAGTTTCAAGGATGTGCACATGAAAAGCGATTGAGAGTAGCTAGGAAATAACACAGCCAACACACAGATACACTGAATTGTGTTTACTTTCAGGAAATAGTAATAAGGCACAGTCCATTAAACAGTCCAGGTCATACACGTATAAAGCAGTAGATATCAAACAATAGTCCAGGGATAATCCAATAACAAAGTCTTCTTACCAGTCGTTGTAGTTATACACAATAACAGTTCTTCTATATTTGCAAACAGTAGCAAACACAGCAAAAAGAAGCAAAGATATCAGCAAAAAGAAGCAAAGAGAAATAAACCAGGTTTCTAGCTCCCTCTGAAGGACATTGGCTACAGAGCTAACCAATCAGGACACAGTATGATGCAATACAGCAGCCTTAAAGCTATATTCATGGTTTATATATTGCCAACCCAACAAGTTAGGTAACAGTCATTTCCTAACACTGTTTCACTTTAATTACAGTGAAACATCAAACTGTCTCACTTTAATTAAAGGTGTTAAATGAATTTTGTGTTTTCAGTCTCGCTACCAACATTATGTCTGATTTTATGCAGGTAAGTAAAATCCAGGTGGCCAGGAAGGCCCAACAGAGACTCCATTTCCTTAGGGTCTTGCGTGAAAACAGGGTGGAACAACAACTGATGACCTCCTTTTACTGGTCCACAATAGAAAGCATCCTCACTTATTGCATCACAGTATGGCATGCCGGTTTGACAGCCGCAGATAAAATAATATTACAGAGGGTGGTGTGAGCACAGCACAAAACGTCATGGGCTGTCCCCTGATACCACTAGATGAGATTGTTAGGGCTCATTGCCTTAGAAGAGTGAGAAAAATTCTCAGGGACGACTCACACCCTGGTCTCCACTTCTTTACCCTCCTACCATCAGGAAGGAGATATAGAAGCATAGCCAGCCGCATGAACAGGCTGAAGAACAGTTTTTACCCATGGGCTGTCAGACTCCTGAATGAGAAATAACATTGTAACTACATAGTCCAATGGACTTGCAGGGCCAGCGCAATGTGTAACATGTTCACACTGGTGCAATAGGACTGGGTGATTGTTAATATGATTTATTGGGTTAGGGATTTTCTGTCTTCACTGTAAGTTGCATTGTGTTGGGGGGGGTGCATTGTGTTGGGGGGTTCCACCAATCTCATTGTACATATGTTGTGCACTGACAATAAAGATTTTAATTAAATGCATTGTGAAGGACAGATTTTAATCATTTTTAAAGTATACCAGACAGTTTTATCAAGTCTCTGAAGCCCTTTGCATAGCAAAGAATCAGGACAGTTGACCATAGTCATTTTGGAGCAAGACAATGAAAAAAAATAACTTGATATGTGCTCTTGAGCCCGCTTTCAAATCCAGTTTAAACTCTTTTTGCATCAGATTGCATATATATTTACATGCTGATTGTGTTCCGTCCACAGGCCCATAGCCAGAATAAGTCCCATTTAGCTTCTTAAAATGCTCCTTATGATTGCACTGACTTCTGAAGTGTATCCTACTGAATTCAGTGGGGCTTCCTTTTGAACTAATTTACATAAGATTACATTGCAAGGCACTGAACAGAGTAACTTGCTCTGAATTATGTTGGTTACCCAAATGGGTAGATGTGGAATATGTAGTTGCATTTTCCTCATTCTTTGATTTTTTTTTTTTTAATTTGATTTATATGCCGCCCTTCTCTGGAGACTCAGGGCAGCTTACAATGCGTTAAGCAATAGCCTTCATACTATTGTATATTTATACAAAGTCAGCTTATTGCCCCCACAATCCGGGTCCTCATTTTACCTACCTTAGAAAGGATGGAAGGCTGAGTCAACCTTGAGCCTGGTGAGATTTGAACTTGCAGTAATTGGAGGCAGCTGATGTTAATAACAGTGCTTTAGTCTGCTGCACTACCAGGGCTCCTCTAAAACGTTTGAAGTTTGCACTTTTTTTTTTTTTTTTTTTTTTTTGCATTTTGGTTGGTTCTAATAAATATTTTATTCACCAGTGGGTTTTGGATTTATTTTTCCACTTTCCTTTTAAAAGTGAATATAATAGCAGAAAGCCAAGTTCCACAAATAAGGAAAGCATTATAATAACTGAAATCAAAAATTGCTTGTTTGCCTAAATTCTTGTATTTCCACTTGGCACATTAAAAAAAAAATCCCCTCACCGTCACTTCCACTGTCCATTAAAAAAAAAAAAATCTCATCACTACCACAGCCCACCAAGTTAAAGCATATTTGTGTCCTTTCTTGAAAAATAACTTTGGGGGGGGGGGGTATTCGTGATGAATTTATAAATAAATAAAAAAAGCACATTTCACGTACCTATGAAATGGGGATAGCAGTCGCGGGATGAAGGGCAGAGAACTGCAAAAACAATACGAAACAGTTCCAAAGAGTTTTACCCAGTTAAGATACGGTACAGTTGTGAAACCTTTGGAAGTTTAGATTAAAGCAGACATCTATCTCGGTGACGGGTAATTCGGTTGTAAGAGGAAAAGCGGGGAGGGGGCCGCGGGCGTTGCAGCACCTTGGAGAGCACCAAGAGCGCGTTGTTGCGCGCGCACCTTTAAATAATAAAAAAAAAAAGCAGCCCGCGGAGTCAGATACGCAGTAGAACCGTCTGCGCCGGAGCGGGAGGCAAGATTTGTCTTGAGTTGCAGGTTGGGCAGAAGGGTCAAGAAACGCCGCTGTTTGGGAGATGGCTGGAAGAAGAGCCGCGCTCAACTTCAACCTGGCTTAGAGTTAACTGCATGCACGAGCTGAGTAGCCGGCAGCGACGTCTGGAAGGCTCCGCTGCTACATCTACCCCAACAGTGAGTGACTTTCCCTTGGAGCTCCCCCGAAGTCTGTGTCTGGTTCCCCGTCTTTGGATCGGGTCTGGGCGTCCGGCTGCTTGCGCTGTCTTCTCTCTCTCGCTCCCGACAAGATCAGCTGTGATCTTCTTCGCGCTGCCACCCGCTCCGTACCTTTTCTTCCCCAAGTCCCTGCCAAAGATCTCGCAGCAAAGGTGGACTTGCCAGCTGGCCGGCCGAAAGGAGTCTTTCCTTTGATTGGGGACTTCTGGAAAGAGAGACTTTTTGGGGGAGAGGGGAGGTGTCTCGCAGTAGCAGCTTGTTAGGTGGAGCTGAGAAGACCCAAACATTTCCCCCTCTGCCATGGGATGGATGCCCTGTGTGAATACAGCTACTGCTCGCTTGCAGCTAGCATGAAGGAAGCAGAAGCCGGAGAACTCAGCGCTTTCCCCAGCCGGCTAGAAGAGAGGCTGTTAAGCAATGGCACCAACGAGTCCCTGCAGGAGTTCTGGAGGAGCTTCCTCAACCTAGAGAGAGCAGATGGATTGCAGGGAGGCAGTTCTATCCTCCTACGGATCTTCATCTCCATCATCTACTCTGTGGTGTGCGCCCTCGGTCTAGTTGGCAACGTGCTGGTGCTCTACCTGATGAAAAGCAAATGGAAAAAGTCTTCCATCAATCTCTTCGTGACCTGTTTGGCGGTGACCGATTTCCAATTTGTCCTGACTTTGCCTTTCTGGGCAGTGGAGAATGCTCTGGATTTCACCTGGCTCTTTGGCAAAGTCATGTGCAAGATGCTTTCCTATGTGACAGCCATGAACATGTACGCCAGTGTCTTCTTCCTCACTGCCATGAGCATTGCCCGCTACCATGCGGTGGCCTCTGCCCTGAAAAGCAGGAGACAAGGAGGGCTCTTGGATGGCTGCTCTTCAGCTAAATGGTTGTGTGCCCTCATATGGATCCTAGCCATTCTAGCTTCTCTGCCCAATGGCATCTTCTCCACCACCTCCACTATCTTCGGTGAGGAACTCTGTCTGGTCAAGATACCTGATAGCCAAGGCAACAATACTCCATTCTGGTTGGGTCTCTACCATGCCCAGAAGGTCCTACTGGGCTTTCTATTGCCTTTGACCATCATCACCCTTTGCTACCTTTTGCTGGTGCGCTTCATCAGTGACAGACATGTGGGTGCCGGTTCCTGTGGGCCAAGCACTAAGCGCCGATCCAAGGTGACCAAATCAGTGACCATTGTGGTACTGTCCTTCTTCCTTTGCTGGCTGCCCAACCAGGCACTCACCACCTGGGGTGTCCTCATCAAGCTGAACCTTCTGCACTTCAGCCATGCCTACTTTCTCTCTCAGGCATACCTCTTCCCCATCACCGTCTGCCTGGCACATTCCAACAGCTGCCTCAACCCCATCTTCTACTGCCTCATGCGCAGGGAATTCCGTAAAGCCCTCAAGAAGCTGTTGTGGAGGATTGCTTCACCCTCCACCACCACCATGCGCCCATTCACTGCTACCACCAAGCCAGAGCAGGAAGAGCAGGCACTGAAGAACCTAATGACCATTCAACCCGCAAGCAGTTCTGCTCCTCCTCCTCCTTCTGCTAGAGCAGGAGATGTTCCTGATGCCGTCTGCTATCCTCCTGGGGTGGTGATGTACAGTAGCTGCTCCAATATCTTTCCTTCCATCACCTCCACTGAGATGCGCTGTTGAGTCTGAGGGACTGGCACCGAGGAAGAAAGAAATCGCTTGCTGTCCCCTGAATCAGTCAATGTGGTTTCCTGTGTTGGAGCATTCCTGGAACTGCCTAGTTGTGGGACGGGGGTGGGGAGTAGGTCCATGTCTGAAGAGCCATGCTTTTTGGGTAGTTGGGTGTTTATCAGCATGGAAGAAAATGAGGACAGTGCATTCTAGCACTTAGGGAAGCAATGTGGGAGTGCGGGGAAATTTATGGGATGGCTTCACTTGTAATGTCAACTGCTGCACCTTAATAACAGTAAAAGTGGGGAAAGTGCAGACAAGAGTGACCCGAATGATCAAAGCCTGAAGTAACTTCAACAAGAGGAAATTGTTTGCAATTCTTTATATTTGGGGGAGAGGATGTGGAATTAGGCATGGAACGGAAGAAATGGGCAAGGAGAAAGTCAGGATTCTAGACAACGACAAAGGATGATGGGAGAGTCAGGCTGGATAAAATAAGTATCTAGATAGTGACATTGACACCGTGATGGCCATGACCTTCAACAATTTTATTTGTGAAGGGTAAAGCTAGGCATAATGAGTCCACAGTACCTTCAGAAGTAATGTTTCTGAATACAACAAGGTGCGAGGAAATAATAGCGAGGAAAGCCCTTGCTGTCATATTCTGCATATTCCATAAGCATCTGGCTTGCCGTTCGAATAACTGAAGAGTAACTGAATCAACATTAAATTGATTCAGATTAGATGAGCTTTTGATCCGATCCAGCAAGCAGACTGTTTTTATGGGCTTATGAATACAGTAATGGGGTGTGAAATTGAGTGTTTTAAGGAAGTTGGGTTTTTTTAGATTAGTCCAGATAAAATAATATTTGCATCTCCAATTATCCTGGTCATTGGAATTAAGAAAAACCTCTCCACCTGACTCTGTTTCCCTTCCTCGTAAGAAAAGTGAAAGGCTAAGTTGAATGGTCTGGAAATTCATTCACCCCAGTTAGAGGGGATAATTCATAAATGGGGGGGTATATTTATTGTTGATCCTCATTAAAACAATTCCATCTTCATAGGATGGAACACAGGATTTTAAGATGAACTATATTCGGATTTCATGTATTAGGACTAAGCTCTTTTTAGTTTCTTCGAAGTATAGAAGAAGAGAAGGAGGAATGGAGGAGTGAGAGAACAAAAGAGGGAAAAAGCAGCTCTGCTAAATTGTTCCGCTCTTGAATCTAAGATTGAAAACAGGAGAAATTGTCCTTGTAACTTCAGGATGTTATTGCTCTGCCACTGGACTGCCTGTCCATCGTTTACTTCGAAATGATTTCATTTGTAAAACTGTGGGGGAAACAGACTGGACTTCAAAAGATTGATAAAAGTCAAAGGCGGATTGTGAAAGAGGCTTTGAAGAAAAACCCCAAGAACTGGCATTAACAAACTGTACCTGGCAAGCATGGATTTAAGACTGTCAAAGATCCTCATGGTAGTTCAGGCTGATGTCTATTCTGTTTAGGTAGATGACACCCAGTGGTGGGTTGCTACCGGTTTGCCCCAGATCAGGCGAACCTGTAGCGGCAGCTGTGGGAGGCTCCGCCCACCCGCCCAGACGCGTCTGTAAGCGTCCACGAGCAAATCGGTAGTGACGGGATTTGCAACTCACTACTGATGACACCTAATTAGAAATATGGAAGTGCTATATAGTTGCTATGATTCTGAGTGTTGGCAGACCTATCTGGATATGAGTTAAAGACATTCAAAATATGCCCTTCGCCATACTTTAGCTAGAAAGATGTTCCTCCCTAGCTCCAATTCCAGATAATGATCTTTTAAACTCCATTCCCCATTTAACAACAACATGGTGGTGATATCAATTGCCCTTGCAGCTGGCAATATTTGTACCTTTGAGCAAATACCTCCTGTAAATTGAAGGACTGGCCTGATGATTAAGGATGGGATGTAACTGATTGAAGAAAGAAGGAGGCATAACAGTATATTTTCTGTATCAAGGCTGTCTCATTACATGTGAACTATTAAATCTCTGTATCCATATCAAGCATTGTCACGTCTTTACAAAAACAAGGTGATTTTGTGGCTGGAAAAGGTCTGATGGCTGAAAGAAGCAATTATGCAACTTACTGGAAAGAACCAAAACGAAGAAGTTTTGTGTATAGCTGGTAATTTCAAGTATTTTTTTGTCATTATTATGAATAGGGATGCCAAGCTGAACTAGGCAAGAAAAAGTTAAGTTATTCTGATATGAATGCAAGAACACAAGACTTTTTCCTCCTCCTCGGAATGTACAAGAAACAAAGCAAAATACAGAAAATGGTGAGTCCTACCCTGTTAATACATCATGCAGGGCCTGATTTAGATGAAAAGAGGCCCTAGGCTATTCCACTTATGAGGCCCTTTCACCTATAGTGAAAGTGTAATTTTAATTTTGCCAACAATTTGAATGTAGGCCCCTCTTGATCTTGAGGCCCTAGGCTGAAGCCTAGTTAGCCTATAGGAAAATCCGGCCCTGACATCATGCATTTTGCAACAAACAATTGTAATCACAAGAAAGGGTAATTCCCCTTTGTCCACTGCAGTCATGTTGAATATGAATTGCTCTAATTTTACACTAAAAATGTAATCTGGAGACGTTTCTCAGCCATTTGCAAATGGCATCACACATGTCAAGCTTAAAGCACTTTGATGTCCTATCAGCAAACAGTTTAGTCTTTGGTCATGGACTAATCAACCCATTCATAGAAATATCGGAAGCCTTGGGGTTTTACTGAAAGGGCCATTTCTGTGTCCAATGCCCATAGGCATTGTGCTCCTTTCCTGTGAAGGTCATCCTCAATTTCTGGAGGGGTTGGGGGAAATGATGGGAAAACATCAAGAAGACCCTGTGGATATATGCCTCCATAAAATTCAGTGGGTGAAACAGAGGATTACATGATGAATTCATAACATGACCAATGGAAAGTTACAACATCAAGAGGCCCAGAATGATCTGCTGGTTAAGATGTTGGGCTAGGAGGACCATAGAGATCCAGCTTCAAGTCCACTCTCAACCGAAGAAGCTTACGGGGTGAATTTGTTCTAATCTTTCAACCCAGTTTATCTCATGGAGTGGTTGAGCAGGTGCTCAACCTATATAATTTGCCTTCAGAGGGGACAATCTGCATCTGGTGTCTCATTTCAAAGGTCTCTGCAAGGAATAAGCTTCTACTGCTATCCTACTACTCAGGGAAATGGGGAGAGGGGTGTGTAATTGCACAATGTTTCCATCATGCAACCTCCAACAATAATTTATTTTGATATGGAAGGGTGATTGAGAAGTTCAGGCAAGCATTTGCTCCAGGATGTTTTAACACAGTGTATTTCAACCTTGCGAACTTTAAGATGTGTGAGCGTCGACTCCCAGAATTCCCCAGTCAGCATGCTGGCTAGGAAAGTCTGGAAACTGAAGTCCATATATCTTAAACTTTACAAGACAGAGAAACACTTCCTTAGCTTTAGCCTTTCAGTTAGATTCTAAAAAGGATCTCCCTTTCTTGGAGTTTTAAGTGGTGGCTCAGTGGCTAAGACACTGAGCTTGCCGATCAAAAGGTCAGCAGTTCGGTGGTTCGAATCCCTAGTGCCGTGTTAACGGGTTGAGCTCCCATTACTTGTCCCAGCTTCTGCCAACCTAGCAGTTCGAAAGCACGTAAAAAATGCAAGTAGAAAAATAGGGATCACCTTTGGTGGGAAGGTAACAGTGTTCCGTGCGCCTTTGGCGTTTAGTCATGCCAGCCACATGACCATGGAGATGACTTTGGGCAGTGCTGGCTCTTCGGCTTTGAAACGGAGATGAGCACCGCCCCCTAGGGTTGGGAACAACTAGCACATATGTGTGAGGGGAACCTTTACTTTTTAAACACCATTCAAAGGAGAGAGAAAAATCTCAGTTGTTCCACAACCGATGATGCAGCCCTGCCTATTTTATCCAGGAAAAATATGCCGAAGTTTCAGCTTGTCCTAAATTAAGCTGTATACAGGGCTGCCTTGGTACAGAATCTCTCTCAGCGGGCCTTATATTGGCTCTTTTTGCCCTTTCCTGGATGTCTTCTGGGATGCCTTGTTTTCCAGCCATTTCTGTCTTCCATTAAGCAGGACTTTGGGGCAGGATGCAAGAAGCTTTGTTAGTCGAATTAGCAAAAGCAAAAGTTGCAGCAGGCCTGCTTAGCACCTTTTAAAGCAATATGGAATTAGAGGTCTTAAGATAATTAAGACTAGAGTTGCACATTAGCTGATGGCATTTTAGAGCATTACTTTGAGAGCAAGTAGCTGGCAGCAACAGGCCAGCCTAAGCTGACATTGGAACTCTAAACTGTCTCAAGCCTCATTAGCACTCAGAGGGGAGGCCACCAGGAAATGCCAAGGCCATGGACCTGTCCCAGGAGTTAAATCAGTTCTGTGTCACTGCCAAGAAAATTACATGGAGGCATCCACAAAGCTGCCTGCAATTGGGTTTGACTTGAAGAAGCCTTGCGCGCAACATCGAAGTGGTGAGTACTGGTAGGACTGAAATTGAAACGGAGGCACTGAAAGGGAAGAAGGGAAAGTACAGGTAGTCCTCAACTTACAACAGTTCATTTAGTGACCATTTGGCACTTCTAAAATTGATTTATGACTGTTTTTCACGCATCCATTGCAGCATCCCCATGGTCATGTGATCAAAATTCAGACACTTGGCAACTGACTCATATTTATGACGGTTGCAGTGTCCTGGGATCATGTCATCACTTTTTGCAACTTTCTGACTTAACAACCGTGTTACTAATTTAACAACTGCAGTGATTCACTTAACAACTGAGGCAAGAAAGGTCATAAAATGGAACAAAAACTCACTTAACAAATGTCTCCCCTAGCAACAGAAATTTTGGGCTCAATTGTTGTCGTAAGTCGAGGACTACCTGACCCAGCATGTCTGTAATGCTATGTGGGAATGACCTTAGGGGGAAGAGCCATAGCCATAGACAATGGTTGGATAAGGGGCAGCTGAGCCCTCGGAAGGAACCCTCTCTAGTGTCTTGGGCTGTAAAGACAAGGAGGAAACAGTTTTATAAGATTCTGCTAATGAAGCTTTAATGAAGCTGACTATAATAGAAGGATAACTGTATACACATATAATCAGAATATACTATATTATATTATTATTACAATATAATTATTATACTATTACTAGAATTGTAAAAATATATGAGAAGGCAAATATTGAATAGTGAATTACAAAAGCAGAACATACATGCTGATACAGAAAGCTGTAAAATTATACTATATTGTTGTGTTGTTTGTGTATTTTATCTGTTTGCATTTGTATTTTTTTTTTTTATTTATGTAATTTATATGCCGCCTTTCTCCCAAAGGACTCAGGGCGGCTTACAAGAATGAACAAAAAATTACATAAACATTAAACTCAAATTAAAATTAATTAAAATCATTTAAAATCACCCCTACGGATTCAGCCCATTTGGTGAAAAAGCCACGTCTTCAATTCACAGCAGAAGGAGAGGAGGTCAGGGGCTGTCCTGAGGCTGGTGGGCAGCCCATTCCAGAGGGTCGGTGGTCCTACAGAGAATGCTGTCCCCCTGGGGGCCGCCCCTAATCATCTTTGTTGCTCTTCTCTGCATTCTTTCTAGAGTCCAACATCATTTTTACATTGTGGCGACCAAAACTGAATGCAGTATTCCAAGTGTGGCCTTACCAAGGCATTATAAAGTGGTATTAACACTTCACGGGATCTTGATTCTATCCCCCTGTTTATGCAGCCTAGAACTGTGTTGGCTTTTTTGGCAGCTGCAGCACACTTCTGGCTCATATTTAAATGGTTGTCCACTAGGACTCCAAGATCCCTCTCACAATTACTACTATTGAACAAGGTACCACATATACTTTACCTGTGCATTTGTTTTTCTTGCCTAACTGTAGAACCTTACTTTTTTCACCAAGTCTTCACCAAAACTTCACCATGTTTCCCAAGTCTTCTCTCTTCTGTGGACCAAGATATTTTTGCAGGATTGTTGTTTAGTCTGTGGCTCTTCCTTTTATCTCCAAGGTCATTTTCTTTTCTTTTCTTTTTTTTTTTTTATAAATTTTTATTGGTTAAAAATTACGAACAAACAGATACAACAATACAACATACAAAACAAATAAACATAAATCAAGTCTTACAACTTCCTTTTTAAAGTTGTCACACTGGTAGACTGTCTTTATATCCTTATCTATATACTGTATTTACATATAAAGCAATATGATAAACTCCATATTTAATTTGTTATGTTCCTTAATTGGTACTCAATTTTTGTCTATATATTTTGACCCCTCTTTTGTGTCCCTATTTTTATATTCCTTTCTTTACACACTCCAGTTCTGTGTCAGCTTTGCTGAAAGCAGTTTATATAAGATAGAGGAAACTTGATTTTCATGTTTGCAAGCATTTTTCAAAAGCTGAAGGAGAAAACACTGGATATAGAGAGAGGATCTCTGCTGTACGTGGTTACTTTCAGAGTAATTATGATTTTTTTTTTTCACCCAGTATGTTTACATTTCAGATTTTTAATATTAGAATGGAAGTTGGTATGTTCTTGGCTCGATTTTTAATCAAGGACATTTTGAAAGAGAGAAAACAATTCCCAACATCAGTTAATGGTTTCCACATAGGAGCTGAATAAAGAAATATGGCACTATTGCATTTTTCAAATATGAAATATGCTCTTACTTCTGGTTTGTGGTGTGATCAGTCTTCACGCTGTAGAAAGTTAGTGCCCACCCTTCTCCTAGAAGAATGAAATACTGTATCTTGAGAAATATTAAAAAGGCAGAATATTATATTTCCCTGGAGGGAAAGTTTTTATAGAGGGAGAAAGCAGCCCCTACCTTTTCTTAATAGCCCACAGGAGATGTTAGCACTTGAGATGAAGAGATAGATAGCTCTATTCATAAGCAAAGACTGCAGGCAGAAATTCATTCAAGACAGGATATTTTGAAATTCCCTGCAGCATGGTATGAACAAAGGTAGGATTAGCCCTCAGCCACAATAGGAATTGCCCAACACCCCTTCATTGCATCACCCTCAGGAAGGTCAACCAAATGTAGCTCAAACACTTAGGATTTGTACTTTGCCTATTGAGCCAGCTATGACCCCTACATAACCCCTAAATGGCCACATGTGAGTCTGACAAGAGCCAATAGAATACATGTTCTTGCACAGGAACAGGAAGCTCAAGTGCAAAGCCCAAGAGAAGGTATAAACTCCCCCCCCCTCCACTCTCAACTCCATGTGATCAGCTGCACTAGAACCATGTGCTTGGTGGTTTTGCTTCATCAATAAATGGACTCTCTTTCCAATCAACCTCCAGCCTCCATTTTGTTTCCAATGCCTTTCTCCCGGCTTGGAACTGAACCAGATGGATATTTCTTCCCACAACACTGTACCAGGATTCATCCTGATCAGAAAGCCCTGCCTCTGCTTCGAAGAATGTATAATGCTGTCATGCTGGTACAAAGATACAGTGACTAAAGGGGTGATTTCTGTGAGTCCTCGGTGTATCCAGTTTGACGCATTTGCACAGCCTGTTTGGTCTAGTGGTTTAGGCACCAGGCTAGAAAGTGGGAGACTGCGAGTTCAAGTCCTGCCTTAGCCATGAAAGTCAGCTGGCTGATTTGAGACCAGTCATTCTCTCTCAGCCCAAACCACCTCACAGGCTTGTTGTTATGGAGAAAATAGAAGAAAGACGGTGTGTTGGATATGTTCTCCACCCTGAGTTATTTGTAAAAATAATAAAGGCAGGAAAATACATACATACATAGATACATACATACATACATACATACATACATACATACATACATACCCTTAATCAGAGGAGTTTACAGGCAAAATTCTGGTGATGCTGAGTTTTGCCAATAAAATTATACTGATATGTATTGATCAATTTGCCACATTTACCAGGAAATATTAAACAGCTGCATATTTTCATCAAGCATCTGAATGTGAAATATTTTTCATAGCATGGGTGGGAACCCTGCCCAGAAGCCCCCTTAACAAGTATTTCTCGAATTTCATCCTGATCTACCAACATTTTTTTTTAAAAAAGTTTTATCCCAAGTTTTACCATTATTGAGAAATGAATTCTTAACCACAATTTTATATCAACTTTTATGTATTTAAGAATAAACCTTCTGTTGTTTGAAAAAGTACTGAAAATTCTCATGTAAAACAGAGATTGATGAGAAGGATATCATGATCTGAACAATCTAATAAGACAGGAAAAATATTGACCCCTGATCCAGAATGTTATACATCATGATATACATAGGTAAAGATAAAGATTCCCCTTGCACATATGTGCTAGTCGTTCCCGACACCAGGGGGTGATGCTCATCTCCGTTTCAAAGCCGAAGAGCCAGCGTTGTCCGAAGACGTCTCTGTGGTCATGTGGCTGGCATGACTAAATGCCGAAGGCGCATGGAACGTTGTTACCTTCCCACCAAAGGTGGTCCCTCTTTTTCTACTTGCATTTTTTTTATGTGCTTTCAAACTGCTAGGTTGGCAGAAGCTGGGACAAATAACAGGAGCTCACCCCATTACGCGGCACTAGGGATTCGAACCGCTGAACTGCCGACCTTTCGATTGACAAGCTCAGCGTCTTAGCCACTGAGCCACCACATCCCTTGTGATATACATACATGTATAAAATTAAGTGTTGCTAAGGCTAAGAATTAAAATACTTAGTTGTAGAATGAGGAGAAAAATAAACCTCTAAATAACAGAACAGCGTATAGAGTTGCAGTAATAAGGCTTGTTAGAATTCTCTAGGATTTTCTGTTGTGCCTTTCTCAAAAGTAATCCTTTAAGACCACATTTGAGGACATAAAATAAATTCTGGAAATATTAAATGCAAATAAAATTCCAACACAATTGAAGAAATTATAAAAGAACTCCAGCCAAGCATACCACATTTGTTTTCCTTCTTCATAGATGGCTTCCCTGTGCTGACTTAGCGACATATAGAAGAAAGCATGAATTTCTGTATACACACAAATGATCATAATAATGTATTATACTAGCCAATTTCCAAACTCAATTTCCTCTTTAAGAACTTCATGATAACTTCTATAAATAAATGTATAGCACACGCTGATCAATGGTACAGGTCAATAAAAACAAGGACAAATAGGCTGAAAAACAGCTTCTATCCCAGGGCAATAACCATATTGAATTCTAGGGTATAGTGCGATATCAGGTTTTCAATTTCAATTATATAGAATTTAAAGGATGTATGTTTGTGTTTTTATTTTTATGGTTATAATGTACACTGAAGACAGCATTTAATTTTGTTGTACCATGTGCAATGACAATAAAGTAAACTATAACTATCAGTGGTGGGATTCAATTTTTTTTACTACCGGTTCTGTAGGCGTGGCTTGGTGGGCATGGCATGGCATGGCATGGTAGGCGTGGCTTGGTGGGCATGGCATGGCATAGCTTGGTAGGCATGGCTTGGTGGGCATGGCAGAGGAAGGTTACTGTAAAATCTCCCTCCCAATCAGCTGGGGCTTGGGAAGCAGAGAATAGTTGGGGGCGGGGCCAGTCAGAGGTGGTATTTATCGGTTCTCTGAACTACTCAAAATTTCCGCTACCGGTTCCCTAGAACTGGTCAGAACCTGCTGAATACCACCTCTGATGCTGATACCTTATTCTGGGTATCACAACCCATCCGTAATCTAACCTTCCAATTTCAATGAATGATTTAATGTCTACTGATCCCAAAAGATTTGTGCATCGTGGTTTGATTCAAGAAGCGATTTCTCATATTGTTAAACCAAGGCATCAATTCCGGGTCCATTTAACACACAAATCCAAAAAGACAGCTAAGAGATCATGTGAGGACTGTCTTAAATATTATTGACCAAAATACACCACTGTTCTTTTTTTTTTTTTTTTTTTTTTGAGGTAAGAAAAGGAGCAACGACTGCCACCAATCAACTATTTATTGCTTTCGTCAATGTACCGAACAAACAAGGCTACAAAGCAGGAACCCAGCAAGGCAACCGCAGAGGCAGAGATCACTACCACCACCACACTGCCAGCAGCACTGACCAGGAGACCCAGGCCCACCCCAACGATGATTTGGGCCAGTTGGACCATACAGGTCAAAGCAGCACAGTCAATACCCTTTCCTCGGCTGGAGTCTGCAGCTTCATCGTGTTTCTGATTCTGGAAGCAAACAGAGAAGGATATGAAGCCAACTGAATCAATATTACCATTCAGATCATCTAATCATTGTCTATTCACTGGTGTCACATAGCCAAAGTTCGATCCTAGGTAGAGGCAGATATTTCTCTCTCTGGGCACAATGAGAATATATCTGCTGAACAAAACTCCGCATTGGTGACAGGAAGGGCATCCGGCCATAAGCATTCTGCTAGCTCCATTCAGTTGCCCAGACTCCACCCCGCAAGGAATTATTAAATTCCTTTTATTAAATTAAATTAAATTTTATTAAATTAAATTAAATTAAATTAAATTAAACTAAATTTAAAAAAGGTGATCACACAGCCAAAGCACATCAATATTAAGACCATTTGGAACCAAGTATTATATAAACTTCAGTAATGTGTACATAGAAAGATGGAGTATAAATGTAAAAGAAAGAAAAAGACAGTGACTATGGAAAATACCAAAGCAGTTCACTCTCATTACATAACAATTCCCACGTACTACTATAATGATTTTATTCTATTTAGGAATTTTGTGAGGGTGTTAATATTGGAAGTCAAGGGAAGAAATTATTTCTTGATGTAAGATTAAGCATTTAGTTTTCTTTTTCTAAAAAAAAAATCTAGGTTAAATTGTTTTACAATGCTGAAAAGCAAATAATTTTAATAACAAGAATAACTCCATTGTTAAAAAGTTCTGAGTGATCTTAATTTGATATATACAAATTCATTTACCATAGAAGTTTATAAATATTAGAGATAACGTAGAAATGTTTCTGGAGGAAAAGATCCATTTTTCTCTTAAATCTTTTATTTTGGGGATAGTTTAAAAAGAATAGTTGAAATCAAACTTTCTCATGTAAATCTTTTAAGAAAGCTTCTTAAAAATTGTTAGACAGATTTTCAAAATTACAAAAGCTCTTAATTATAGTCTTGTGCACTTTCACTGGAAATCTCTGGTTGGTTTTGAGAGAACTGTATTCAGTATGGATAAAACTGTAACAGTTCCATTCCTTGCCATTTTTGCTCAGAATTTTCACTCTATTCAGTGGATCATAGCCCCAGGAAAATTTTGTAAGATGAAATTTTTGTTTAAGATTTACCTCAGGGATGATTCTGGCTTGAAGAAACATGTTGACATGTTGACAGGATAACATTTGGCTCCATATCATATGCTGAGGGATATATACCTTAAAGGATCTGGAGAAATGTTATTCCAGGAGAAATGTCCCCATTGATTTAGACTTTAAAACCTGTGGACCTCAACTCCCAGAATTCCTCAGACAGCCATGGGAATTCTGGGAGTTGAAGTCCATAGGTCTTAAAGTTGCCAACGTTGGACTCCCTTGGTTTTGATAGTGCTCCATTATTTGTTAATGAGATAATATGCATTTTCTCATGGAAAAATTTGTATTTGAGAAAATAATTTTTGTAAAAACTAATTTACTTTAAAATATCAGTACATGGTAAATAAATATGGTTAGATTCTGCATGAAACTGTAAAAAGACATGTTGAAAACCTTCCTAACCACTTTTGAGAAGCGTTTTCAAAAGATTTTCATGAGAAAGTCTTGTTTCAAGTGTTCTTTCTAACAGCTTATAAAATTAGATGGTAATTGACATTAATCTACAAAGTTATTTTTTGTTCCTCAGAAACCCCATAATGGATAATTTAAACTCTTATTTTCCATGGGATAAAAATCAAGCAATCAAACGGGCAGATATCAAAGTTCACAAAAAACTCTGCTATTTTCCTCACTAAATGAAAGTTTTAATATAAGTGGCACTAGATGGAAGATTCTTTCAAGTTACCGTTCTTATTTGAAATTGATTAAATAGATAAAATTTCTCTGATTGTCACGCTGAGATATGAGACACTTTAAACTTAGGCTTAGCATATTTAAGAAAGAAAGAGAAAGTCTCCATTCGATTCCTCCAAAACACACACACACACAGGCACTGATTATTGATTCTGGTCATGTCCAATTTGTATGTTCAACACAGCACAATAGCAAAGTTCATCGTGAGCCATGGAAGGTTGCTGCACGACTTTGGGGCAGAAACTGTTTCTCAGTTCATCCTGGGCTTTATTCTGGTCACATCAGAGAGGTTGAGAACATGTTCAGCCCAAGAATTTATAAAGATGTGGCATTCTGTAGCGTAGTTATCTTGACTCGCTTTCAGAACAGCCTGAAGATTAAGGCTGCTTTATTCAAGAATGTTAATGACATGTAAATGAAATAAACAATACACTCCATCCCATTCTGAGTCTTATCTTGCAGTAATGACACGGAAGTAGATAACAGGTTATAAAACAGAGCATTACATAAATGTGGGGAAGAAATTGCAGACAGTGTGATATTTTGCTTCGTGGGTTATTTTAAATTCAAAGCAACCCCGTTTGAAACGGCATTTAGTATTAATATGAATGATGTAGGAATAGTACAGGGTCAGCTATATGAACACTGAAGGACCCTCTTTATTCACATTATTATAAGAAAGAAATGTGCTTGTTTAGAGATTACACTAAGTCAGCTAAATTCCATTCTTGGTAATATATATCTTCTGAGGGGCCTAGTTGTCAAGAATGCAAGGACATCCATATGAAACAAAAGTTACTTATTATCCAAAGCAGCCATGAATCTACGCATCAGCAATCACAGAACTGAGGAAGGTTGTTTAGCTAAGATAATCTTATGAACTAGAAAATAATGTAGGAATTTAGTAATTTAGAAAGTATCAATTATCATGTAACAAATGTAGGTTAACCATATATGGAAAACTGCTGTGCTCACAAAATCCTTTGTCTTGGATATGTATAAAAGCAGTTGTATCAGAGCTCTTCTTGGTTCAGAATTGCAGATACAAATCTGATTCTGAAACTGCGCAATAAACTGTCTCTGGCTGATCAGGAATGTTGTTTGGTCCCATCATTCCATAACAGTAGCATTATGAGAGGTGTCACTGCTTGGTTTGATCAAAATAAAGGTAGTTCTCATTCAAATTTATGATGGGCCTTCCTGGAGGTACGGTACTTACGACCTGGTTCTGAAGCTCTGATGGCCAGGGCACCCCACAGTTAATGGAGCCTGCTGTGCATTTTGGCACTCAACAGGCTCCATTACAGTTGTAACACAAGGACTACCTCTATCCAAGTGCAAAGTGGAAGCAAAGATAATGGAGTGGATTATTGCTTTCTCCTAATCAGGTGAGGGTCAGGTAAGAATGAAACACGTCGATCAGTGGTGGGCTTCAAAAAATTTTACTACCGGTTCTGTGGGTGTGGCTTGGTGGGCATGGCAGGGGAAGGATAATGTAAAATCTCCATTCCCTCCCCAATCCAGGGGAAGGTTACTGCAAAATCCCCATTTCCTCCCGATCAGCTTGGACTCAGGAGGCAGAGAATAGATGGGGGCGGGGCCAGTCAGAGGTAGAATTTACCAGTTCTCCGAACTACTCAAAATTTCCACTACTGGTTCTCCAGAACTGGTCAGAACCTGCTGAAACCCACCTCTGACATCGATCCCTGGCTTGCGAATCTAAGCCAAGGGTGTCAAACTCGATTTCATTGAGGGTCACATCAGGGTTGTGTTTGACCTTGGGGGGCCAGGGTGGGCATGGCCAGGGTAGGTGTGGCTAGCTCAACGTCACTAGTGTCAGGGGCCCGATCGCTCTGGCAGCAAAAATGGGCTCCCAAGCTTCATTTTCGGCTGCAACGGACTCCTGCAACCCTCTGTCAAGGAAAATGGAGCCCAAGTTCCATTTTCCCTGGTAGAGGCACTGTGGGCCGGTCCTTTGCTGTTTCCAGGGTGGCCCTGTGGGCCAGATCTAAGCACCCCTCAGTCTGGGTCCGGCCCCCAGGCTTTGAGTTTGACACCCCTGATCTAAGCAGTATCTACAACTGGATTCAAGAGCAGTCAGATGGTTTCTAAGATATTAGCAGTAAAGAAAGTTGGTTGGACTCTTTCCTTTACTTCATCTTCACTCACCCACTTCCCTCCACTTGAAGGTGAGCTGCAATGAAGGATTCCACAGCCAATGATAAGACAACAGCCTTCCATTTCAACTCACCAATTCCTCCTTGTGGTAATTAGCAACAAGGTTGAATGGTATCGTGTACAGTGTGCTGGACATGACACCGAACAGGGAGCACAGAATCAGAGTAGGATGGACTTTGGGAAATAGCCCAATAAATCCAGTGCCTAATCCAAAAAGGAGATAGCCAACAAAATAGAGTCCTTTTAATCCTAGGAACGGTAGCAGAGCTCTTTGAACATCTGGTGGAAGAAAAAAGATTGGGAAGAGAAATTAAAATGGCAGCCATTTTTACCTCTGTTGAATATTAATGAAAACCTTTATGGCTCCCCCCCTTTTTTTTTTGTTAATAACGGTTTCTTTTTTTAAAAAAAAACAGATTTTCATTTCATTTTATTGAAAGATGATTTAGGTCAGTGTTTCTCAACCTTGGCAATTTTAAGAATGCTCAAGCCAATTTCCAAGGTTGAGAAACACTGTTTTAGTTTGCAAGTAGTCCTTGACTTATGACGGAACACTTAGCGACTGTTCGAATGGATGCCCCAGAACTAATTATGATTCGGTTTCAAATTTCCAAGAGCTGGTTTTCCCTTGTGGTCACATTTTGAATGCTCAGCAACCAGCCTGCACTAAAGACTTATGACTGTTTGCACTGTCCCATGGTCACATGACTGCGATTTACATTTTTTTCCAGAACCTGGGGTTTTACTTCTGGTTTCTGGCAGAAAACACCCATTACAGATAATGGATTTGCTTAAGGACCATTACAAAACAAGTTGTAAAATAGGACATGGTGATCTTAACAACCTGTTGTGGCCGTCAGCAGCCGGTGCAGCTGGTGGCTGATTCTGACAGCGAGGAGGCTGGTGTGGTGCTGCGCCAGCAGCCTGTGCAGCTGGCATTCGAGTTGGACAATGAGGAGGCTGGAGAAGATGTGATGCCAGCGGCTGGGATTCCGCCAGGGCCTTTAGAACTTCCAGAAGTTCCCTTAAGTGAAGAGGACGAAGAGGAGGAGCCTCTTCTCGATGCAGGGGCGCACAGAGCTGCCAAAAGGCAGGAGTGGCTCCTCAGGAGGACGTCTCCTCGAGAGTAAAGATTGGGGCTAATTGGCCACCACACCAGCCTCCTCATCATCAGAATCAGCTACAATCCGTGCAGGCCGCTGGCGGGCCACAATATTATTATTATTATTTGATTCATTAAGCATGAAACTCAGTCAACTGAACATTTAAAAATGTGTCACAAATATGATTGACTTATTATTATCATTATTATTATTATTATTATTATTATTATTATTATTATTATTATTATTATCTTCCACATTTCTTTCCATGTGATCTTTGAGATTTGGGGATTTTTACTGTAATCAATGTAGAGGACTAGACTGGACATTTCTTTGCCCAGTAGAAGTCCGTTTCAATCTTTCTTTTTGTATTTATATCAACAGTGAGAACTAAAGAAACCCTAAAGGGATAGGAAAGTCCACTTCTGAAACTAAGCATCTATTCATACATCAAAATGTAATTCTTTATTTTATTTATTAAGCACATTTGTTGACGGAACAACTCTGCCTAGCATATACTGTACATTACACATGCCCTCAAAATATTGATGAATAGATGAAATATATACAAAAATGGAGGATTTTTGTTTAACAAAACAACTTCAGAATATTTTAATGATGGAAGGCACATCTTATTAAATTTTCTACCTCTGTGAGATGTTGCCATGCATACATGTATTTTCCATATCCAGTTTTTGAAGTTTTGTTTTCAGCTGCAGGCAAAGGGAGCTTTGATCCCAGAACTATTTTGGAATTATTTTGGCAGCCAAGCCCAGGTAATCTTGCCCCCAATATTTCACAGTGTGCAGTCCTCAGAATAAGGTATTGTTCAGAAAGCTTGCCACAGAGGATGTGAATGCTATCTAGAGCAGAAAAATAGCTGCTGTAGTTTTCCAAGGGTATCTAATGAATCTAGCTATTGCTCCATGGTGGATAGACAAGCAACAGGAGAATTAGACCTAGCAGGAAACATGGCTCCTTAGCCAATCGGGGGTGGGGATAAGCACCTCTCTGGCCAATGAAAAGGGAGGTGGATATCACATTCACAATCCATCAAAGCATCACATTCTGGCTGGAGGGAGATCATCATCTGAGTTTAGGGGCACATTCATTGTGGCACTTAGCAAACACACCAACATATTCAGACCCAAGCTTTATCCTTATAACTGGAATGAAAAGCTAGCAATTGCAATAGCAGTTAGACTTGTATACTGCTTCACAGTGCTTTACAGCCCTCTCTAAGAGGTTTACAGAGTCAGCCTATTGCCCGCAACAATCTGGGTCCTCATTTTACCCACCTCGGAAAGATGGAAGGCTGAGTCAACCTTGAGCCTGGTGGGATTTGAATTGCCAGATTGCAGTCAGCCAGCAGTCAGCAGAAGTAGCCTGCAGTACTGCACTCTAACCACTGCGCCACCGCGGCTCTTCTACTGATACTGATCTACCTAAAGAGTTGCCTCCTCCTCTCCCCACTACCAAAAAAGCTATATCCTGGTCAGGCAAGGAAGGCATATTACAGATCCCATCAGCTAAAGAATTCTAACTGATAGGGGTCAGGAAAAAAGCCTTATCTGCCATTGTCCCTTCACTGTGGAACATTTTCCCTCCAGAGGTGAGGTAGGCCCCCAGTCTCCTGGCCTTCTGGAAAAGTATGAAAACCTGGCTCTGCAGCCTTGCTTGGGGTGCACAATTGTGGGGCTGACCAGCACTCTGAAACACTATTTTTTTTATACAACCTCCTCTTTTTAAACATTTAAATTATATATTTTATGTATTAATATTTCATTTGTACACCACCTAGAGTCCCACTATGAGGGAAATGGGTGGTTATAAAATGTGATAGCTATATGATAGACCAGGGATCGGCAACCCGCAGCTCTGGAGCCACATGTGGCTCTTTCATCCCTCTGCTGTGGCTCCCTGTCGCTGGTTGGCTCCACAATTGATAGGGCTTTCGGTTAGGACAGGTGGAGGAAATGGACGCCGCACTAGAAGGAGATTCTATAGTGGGGGAATCGGACTTCCGGTCGGCTCCAGAATTGAATGGGGGGCTTCTGGTTAGGACCTTTGTGGCTCTTTGAGTGTTTAAGGTTGCCGACCGATGTAATAGACAGACAGGCAGATGTTTAGCCCTATATATTTAACTCTTGCTTTCAGGAATTTCAGCCAAATTGAAATGATACTCACAGGAATAGACTGAAGAAGAAATGGCATTGATGCACAAACCCCAACATCCAATCTCTACACCCTTTTTATAGGTCAGATAAGCAGTGGAGTTGTGAGGGGCATAAGGATCACCTTCGAACACAATCTGAGAAGCATCAAAAAGACAGGATTAAAAAGTGGTTGTGACATGGAACCTATCCAAATTTCATTGCTAAAGAAAGTAGAAATCCCAAAGACCAGAATTTAATATACAGCTAATCCTCAATTTATGACCACAGTTGGTATCAGGATTTCCATCACATGTTGTCGCAGTCATAAGTCAATAAATCACATCACCATTTTAACCACAGTCATTAGTCAAGACACCACAGTCATTAAACCAATCACATGCTTGTTAAGAGAGTCTAGATTCCCCGGTGGTTATTTTTGCCAGAAGCCAGCAAAAGACATCAAAATCACAATGATGTGACTGTGGGATGCTTCAATCAGCCATAAATGTGAACTGGTTGCCAGGTGCCAAAATTGCAATCACATGAACATGGGAAACAGTGCAACAATTTGCAACACTCATGAATGCAAATTTAGATCATAAGTGATTTTTTCAGGGGGGAAGCCTCCGTAATTTCAAACAGTCATTAAATGAATAAACATTCATTTGTATAAACAGAATCAAGATCACATGAAGTGTTAATACCACTTTATAATGCCTTGGTAAGGCCACACTTAGAATATTGCATTCAGTTTTGGTCGCCACAATGTAAAAAAGATGTGGAGACTCTAGAAAGAGTGCAGAGAAGAGCAACAAAGATGATTAGGCGACTGGAGACTAAAACATATGAAGAATGGTTGCAGGAACCGGGTATGTCTAGTTTAATGAAAAGAAGGACCAGAGGAGACATGATAGCAGTGTTCCAATATCTCAGAGGCTGCCACAAAGAAGAGGGAGTCAAGCTATTCTCCAAAGCACCTGAGGGCAGGACAAGAAGCAACGGGATCCTAATCAAGGAGAGAAGCAACTTAGAACGAAGGAGAAATTTCCTGACAGTTAGAACAATGAATCAGTGGAACAACTTGCCTCCAGAAGTTGTGAATGCTCTAGCACTGGAAGTTTTTAAGAAGATGTTGGATAACCATTTGTCTGAAATGATGTAGGGTTTCCTGTCGGGGCAGGGGGTTGGACTAGAAGACCTCCAAGGCAGTGGTGGGTTGCCCCTGGTTCACACCGGTTCTATAGAACTGGTAGTAAAACCTGTAGGAGGCTCCGCCCACCAACCCCGACGTCATCAAAACGCTTCTGCGCATGCACAGAAGAGCGCGCGCACGTGCGAGCAAAGAGCGTGTGGCCCCACTGCAAACCGGTAGTAAAGGTAAGTAGAACCCACCCCTGTTCCAAGGTCCCTTCCAACTCTGTAATTCTATTCTATTCTAATAGTTGTAAATCGAGGACTACCTGTACTGATCTAGAAAATAGACAATTGGAAATACAAAGCACTGCAGTGGTGGGTTCCAACCGGCGTTACTACCGGTTCTCTTCATGCACGCACTTCGCGGGCGATCGCCATGCGCATGCTCGCTTAGCTTGCATGCGCGCCAAACTTGCGCTCCACGCAACACATTAGATATCTGCTCAGCTGAGGTGCGGCAATCCACTCAGCCGCACCTATCAGCTGGACTAAAAAAGAAGAAATAAAAGTAGGAATAACATGGGGGCGGGCGGGAGGGCCCAGCTCCCAGACAAAGAGAACCGGTTTGGTGACATCACCGCTACAGGTTTGGCCGAACCGGGAGGAACCCACCACTGAAGCAATGGAAATATCAGAACAATATATCTGTAATGGTTTTCTCTTGGTTCATCTAGTTTTGGGATACCTTGCTCAGTCCCCAAGTAAATAATTGCCCAGTGCGAAATGTATACTGCAAATACACATCAGTATGGAATAAGTGGAATCACTGCCCGTTTGAGTTGATCAATGACATTCATTGCAATGCTGCCATGTTCACCAAAAAAGTCTTTTGGTAATCCAAATGGGTTGAATGCTCCATCAACTTCAAATCTTGGCAATTTTTTTTTACTAAAGCAGGACTGCTTACTCCTGGAAAAACATTTTGTAATTGACCAGGGAATTTTTCATTTTAATGAAAAGAAATGTGGCCATCTGAATTTATGTAAAACTGGAAGTCTTCCCCAAAAAAACCCCACACAATGATTAGCTTTTAGGATATATCACAAAGTTATTTATATATTTTATAGAGTTTCTCATTGTAAGAGAAAATCTAAGAAAAAGGCCTTGTGCAGACTTGGAATGACGTCTGTTGAAGTCAGCACAATATTTTTCTGGGTAAGCATGCACAGGACCAGGGTGGATAAAAATCAATGGTTTTTTTTAAAAAATCAAAAAAATCAGATTTTTTTTATTTAAATTGGATTTTTTTTTATTTAAATTGGATTTTTTTTATTTAAATCGAATTTATTTTAATAAAAACCTTTTGGGGTAAAAATCTATCGTAAGATAGTTTTCTATTTAAGATACATAAATAATTTAGTTTATTCAGCATGAAATGGAGCTTACTTATGTAGCATGAGGCTGTATATTCTGCAACACTGGGACTATCGGTGAGTCAACAGTGGGTCAAAGGAGTAGCAGAGATGACAGTTGCTCTTTAAAAATTATTATTTAAATCGAGTTGATTTAAATCAAGCCTTTTTATTAGTGATTTAAATCATGATTTAAATTGTGATTTAAATCAGCTCGATTTAAATCAAATCCACCCTGCACAGGACTATATTATATTGTTGTTTATTTGCTTGTACTAGTTTTAGTTGTTTGTTTTTCTAAAGCAGGACTGCTTACTAGTTATCTACTGCCTGCTAGATGACAGCCTCCAACCAACCTTGGTTGATCACAACAAGCTAAACAGGATTGAGATTACAGATTACAGATTAACAGAGTTAGAAGGGACCTCGTAGGTCACCTAGTCCAACCCACCCACACCCATCCAAGCAGGAGACCCTACACCAGTGGTGGGATTCAAGTAATTTAACAACCGGTTCTCTGCCCTAATGATTTCTTCCAACAACCAGTTTGCCAAACTGCTCAGAAATTTAACAACCGGTTTTCCCGAAGTGGTGCGAACTGGCTGAATCCCACCACTGCCCTACACCATTTCTGAAAAATGGCAGTCCAGTCTCTTCTTGAAAGCCTCCAGTGATGAAGCTCCCACAACTTCCGAAGGCTAGCTGTTCAGTGGTGAAATGTAAAATTTGTTACTATCGGTTCTGTGGGCGTGGCTTGGTGGGGGTAATGTGACTGGGTGGGTGTGGCCAACTTTTTTTTTTTTTTTACTTTTAAAAGCATTTTTTCTACAACCTCTTTGGCTGAAGAGGTTGTAAAAAAAATGCTTTTAAAAGGCTATGACAATCCCAGCTGAGCCATGCAATATTCAGAGGCTTTATTTTTTACTTTTAAAAGCATTTTTTTGGCCGAAGAGGTTGTAGAAAAAATGCTTTTAAAAGTAAAAAAAAAAAAGCCTCTGATGATCGCGCGGCTCAGCTGGGCATGGGGGGGGCAGGGATTTTTGCTACCGGTTTTCCGAATCACCTGCCGCCATCGTTACTGGATCGGGCGATCCAGTCCAAACCGGGAGCATTTCACCCCTGAAGCTGTTCCATTGGTTGATTGTTCTCACTGTCAGAAAATTTCTCTTTGTTTGTAGGTTGAATCTCTCCTTGATCAGTTTCCATCCATTATTCCTTGTCTGGCCTTGGAAAATAGCTTGGCCCCTTCCTCTCTGTGGCAGCCCCTCAAATATTGGAAGACTGCTATCATGTCTCCCCTGGTCCTTCTCTTCACTAGACTAGACATGCCCAGTTCCTGTAACCGCTGTTCATATGTTTTAGTCTCCAGCCCCCTAATCATCCTGGTTGCTCTCCTCTGCACTTTTTCTAGAGTCTCAACATCTTTTTTATAGTGTGGTGTTATTATAGTGTGATCAACTAGTCCCTTCTTAGAATGAAGAAGAAAATTCTGGAATTGTAAGATAGACTAGAAAGTTGAATAAACTTCCCAGTAAACAGTTGCAAACTACTTCCCTATTTTCCCCAAGCAAATCACACGAATATATCCATTAAGTCTTCAGTTGAGGTTGATTCAAAGGAGATGTTATCACTACTGATGAAAAGCAGAAAATTGGGTCAATAGTACATTTTCAGTCCATCTCTCAGCTTTTAAATGGAACTGCATGTGTTTGGGAGCTCCAGGGAATCATCATTTTAAACACTCGCTGACATTTCATATTTTGGAGAATATGGAAGATAAAAAAAGCAAAGATTTTCAAATAAAATAAAAATGAATTCCCCAGCAACCCAGCCTACCCAAATCTATATAGAAAGCCTGAAGTCATCTATTCCCCTGGGATCGCTGCTTGAGCTGTTAATGAATAATTCTGCATGTTGTCAACAAAAATACAAGTATCTTCTGTAAATGAAGAGTCCTGGTCTATTCCTAGGATGATGTATTCAGAAACTCAGAAGCTGAAGAGACATTTGTTATAGTATAGATACTTTTAACTGGATTCTTGCACTGAGCCCACAATTGGATCAGTCACCTATCAAGGACCTTCTAGCTCCAAAACTTTTTTTTAATTTCTTTACCTGTCCCATAAAATCAGTGAAGAAGAGCATGTTGGAAAGGAAAGCTGTCCATCCCATCAAGTGACTCAGGCATAAGCTGCGGTAGTGAGGTGGCATGTTTATAAGAGCTTCTAGGAGAGACATAATGGTTATCTGCCTTTGAACCTGGAAAGGGGAAAAATGCACAAGCCTTGTAAACATCTGGATAGTAGATAGTCAAATATTCTCCAGTGAAAGATCTGTTTTATGTCTGCTGAAGTATCTAAAATAAATGCCTGGTTTCAAATGCCAACCCAACCCCCACTGCTCAACCTATGGTGAGCCACACCAATCTCCATTGTTGTGTCTACAGAGCAACTACCCAGAGAGAGATCTTGGCCTCCTGAAATTTGAAAAACTTTTAATCAAGTCATTTCTTGCTCCAATGTTTTAATGAATACCCTTTAATTAATGTTGCTTTTTAGTATTTTAATATATTGCTTTAAGTATTTATTTCTTCTTTTACAGTTTTACCATTTATGTTTTACCATTCCTCTAACTGCAATAAAATACCTTATGCCACCAGACTCCAAATTTTGGGCTTAGACAACTTAGAACTACGCCAATTTCAGTCTGACCTAAGCATAGTACATAAAATTATCTGCCACAATGTCCTTCCTGTCAACAACTACTTCAGCTTCAACCACAACAATACATGAGCAAATAATAGATACAAACTCAAAGTAAACCACTCCAAACTCGATTGCAGAAAATATGACTTCAGTAACAAAGTGATCAATGCCTGGAATGCACTACCTGACTCTAGTTTCTTTCCCAAACTCCCAAAACTTTAACCTTAAACTGTCTACTGTTGACTTCACCCCATTCCTAAGAGGTCAGTAAGAGGCGTGCATAAGTGCACCAGCGTGTCTACCATCCCTGTCCTAATATTCTTTTTTACTTATTCTTTTCATGTATTCAAATTATGTTTATACTTTTACCTGTTATCTTATATATGCTTGACAAATAAACTTATGACTTATGACTTAAAATAAGGTACTTTGACACAGGAAGTAGTATATGAATATGTTAAGTGAATGAATGAATAAATGAATGAATGAATAATAGAAGAGTGCATTAAAATTCTAGCTACATAAATTATATTTAGGTTTCATAGCTGAAGGGTCAAACCTCACATCCAGTCCCCAGAACTGATTTTTCTGGCATCCAAATTTCCTGTCAAATAGACAGGGTGAAATAGTCAGTCTTTTAAGGAGCTAAGGAATGAAATGGGTAATTATTTCATCTCTTGAAAAAGCCCAATCCCTTCCAAAAAATTTTTTGAATCCCATCACTGATATAAATGAATAGTTAAGAAATATGGAAGAGTCTAAGGTAAGTTTCTATATGTATATGCTGCTATGTGTCTAAACCTTTACCTACTTGCATTCCCTAATCTGAGTCCCTTGCTACAATTTGCTAAAGAATACATGCGTTTTCTCCAGCTAGCAAATTTAGCTAATGTATATTTGTCACACTGATGACTTGCAATATATTTTCTCCTTGTTCTCTTAAATGTCCCAGTCCAGCAACGGAGGTCACATAGACCAGAGTTTCTCAACCTTGCCAACTTTAAGATGCATAGACTTTGGCAGCCCATTTCATTGCTAAAACTCCATTGCTGAGACAGATGTGAATTGGGTTGTGGGTCGAAATCCCCACTGTGAGATTTGTAGAAACCCTTTGACTTGCTTGCTTGGCCTTTGTAAGGCATGTCCTATTTTCCCTGGACTGGCCTTCTTGAACCTGCAATTTCTGGATGTACTATATTGAAAGCACAATGCAAAATTCCCAACCCACAGATACTAGGAGAATTAATCCTAGATTATATATGCTGTGTCAGGGTGTGCAAACTGTACAATATACAAGTGTCATTCAATATTCCTTCCATATTAATCCTTTTTCTCTCTCCAAACCATTATTGTCAGTCAACTGTCAAGGATCTTGAAGATCACAAATATACAGGCAAGAGTGTAACACAACAAAGACAACGATCACAGAATTACAGAATTTCTGCAAAGTTAATACAGAAGTCAACACTGGTCTGTTCAATTTTGTAATGCTGTAATTTCCCAAGGTCAAGGTTGCTATTGATTGCAGAACATTGTTTGTGCACTCTTCTTCCTTGATTTGACAGCTTAGTTTTGATTAGAACAACATAAGGTGAGGCCCACTAGCCTAAACCAAATTTAGGCCAAATATGCAGGTGGTGGCATATGCAGATTTGGATGGAAAGTGATCTGAAAAACATCTTTATTTGTCTTTCAGAAATAAAATGCATATTAACATTTCATTTTAATTGTATTTCATTAATACAATTGAGCGAGTCCAGAGGTATTTCACGAGAAGAGTCCTCCACTCCTCTGCTCGCAATAGAATCCCTTATGCTACCAGGCTTGAAATTTTGGACTTGGATAACCTTGAACTACGCCGCCTACAATCTGACCTAAGCTTAGTACACAAAATTGTCTGCTACAACGTCTTACCTGTCAATGACTACTTCAGCTTCAACCACAATAATACAAGGGCAAACAATAGATACAAACTCAAAGGAAACCGCTCCAAACTCGATTGCAGAAAATACGACTTCAGCAACAGAGTGGTCAATGTCTGGAATACAATACCGGACTCTGTTGTTACATCCTCAAATCCCCAAACCTTTAACCTTAGACTGTCTACCATAGACCTCACCCCATTCCTAAGAGGTCTGTAAGGGGGCGTGCATAAGCGCACCAGCATGCCTACTGTCCCTGTCCTACTGTTCCCATTTATTCATACTCATTTCTTATGTATATACTTATACCTGTTTATACTTATGTTATATTCATACTTATACTTGTTTTCTCATACATGCTCGACAAACTAAAATAAATAAAATAAATAAATAATTTTTTCCTAAACTTCATCTACTGTATAATGTAACCCAAGAGTGTCAAACCCATGTCATCACGTTGTTGTCACATGAAGTAATCACAACTTTTCCCCCTTTGCTAAAACGGGAGTGGGCGGGGCCAGTGCGTGATGCATCTGGCCCACGGGCTGCGAATTTGACACCCCTGATGTAACCCATTGCTTTCTAGGATTAAAACTTACTGTAATGTAAAATCAAACTATGCATGCATAATTTGATTTTTTTTTCACTGCTTTCATATGAGTGCCTAACTGAATAATATAGCACAACATTGCAAAATTCATTCTTTCCACAACTGCAAAGCATAAAATCAAATCAAAAGTAATCAAGCGAACGAATGTAGCCAGGCACACATATTGCTTTTCTGGAATCAATGCCAAAGATTTATCTTCAAAAATTAAAAACGGAAGATTTTATTGAGCAGAGCCTCTATCTTCATAGTTGCATTAATGCAGGATTAGCAGATATTGACATAATAGGTTTAAAAAGGGGAATAAGCAAGCTGACACACAGCCAATGTTATTGATGCCCACGCCTCACACCTGCTATACAGCAAAACCCAATAAAATATTTTTAGCAGATGACTTTTGAGACATCCTTCACAGATTTTGAGGGAGCTAAGATTTGAAATAACATCCAGAAAGGCCTTTTTTCTTTGTTATACTTTACTTTACCCGTGTTGAGGCCTACTGCACCAGTCAAGAGCAATACCTCTTCCAGGGGCATTTCCAAAATGTTTTAAAAAGTCAAGACAATGGCTGTGCTTGTTTCAATTGAAGGTTGGTCCCCTTTTTATGCGTGTGTTGCCGGTGCAGTGTTCATAAAAAGGGCTGGGGCTTCAATCCTGTAAGCCCAGTCACCATCTTGATTGTTTTTTTCTAGGAGTATATGATATCTGAAGTCTCGTGATCTGTGGAATATAATCCAGAAGAATTTAAGACTGGAATCAAGGGAATTTGGCCACTATCAAAGTGTCAGCCCTGAAGCCATTTTGGGAGCATCTTCAGGGCTGCCAACAGCAAGGCTGCGTAGAGCTGTGGAACGTGAGAAGGGAGATAGACATAGCTGGGGGATGTGTAGCCAAAATAGCATTCCTTCCCATGGGAGCCAAGGACATTCTACCAGGTGTTGGAGGGCGTAGACAAAAGCCAGCTGGAGTTGGGACTGCTGTTGTCCCCAATTCGGGTCTGAGCCTGGTGCCGAGGCCAATGAAGGACACCAGACACGAGGTGCAGGTTTTGATTGCGTTTTATTGGGGTACCCCAAAGAAAAGGGCTCCTGGCCAAAATGCCAAGAGAGCCCAGAACAAAGGATTAAGAAAGCTTTATACATTTTCACTAAAGGAGAAGGTGAGACAAGGCAGGATAACAAGAAATATCATCTAATAAACATTTTAGTAATAATTCTACAATTTGTTCTATTGGTCTCTAGCTATCCCTATTTCTAAGCCTTGGCTAATGAATGCCCCAGGAGTTTTCTAATGCACATTTTATTTGCTACAGGCCATCTCTATTCCTAACTTTTAGCTGAGGTGTGCAAGTTGCCTAACTCTTGTTACTTTTATCAGCTTTCTAACTACCCAGAATTGTTGAAAGCTTTACACATGCATATTTCCTGTGGATAAGCAATCTTTGTTCTTGCCAGACAGACTCCACAATTACAGGCTTCTAGATTTACTTTCAAGTGTGTGCCATGACCTGGCTTTATTTTAGCAGACAATCCATCACTGCAACCTGATTGGACCACGTGATGGATGTGTGACCTGGGAGAAAGAACTCTGGGTTTTGATTTGGGTGGGGAAAACCTCGGGTCCTTCAGAGTCGGGTTTTCACCAGCTGTGCCAATATGACATTCCTAATAAAATCATGCTTTGAGGAAACTCTAGGCCGCAGAGTTTTAATTGCTTTGGGTTTGTTACTTGAAACCCTGACACAAAGACTGGTAAGTTTACATAATGTAAATAGTTGTGTTTTGTTCCTTCTAACACCAATTTACAGAGGAGTTGTGTGGTTTGGCATCACCTGGCAGGACAAAGTTCCAAATAGCGCAGTCTTGGAATGTGCTGGAATTTCTAGCATATATACACTATTGAAACAGCGACGTCTACGCTGGCTGGGGCATGTCGTGAGAATGGCTGATGGTCGGATTCCGAAAGATCTCCTGCATGGAGAATTAGTGCAGGGAAAGCACCTCATAGGGAGACCACAGCTGCGATATAAGGATATCTGCAAGAGGGATCTAAAGGCCTTGGGAATGGACATTAATTATTGGGAAACCTTGACCTCCGATTGTTCAGCTTGGAGGCTAAAGACGCAGCATGGCCTTCTCCAATTTGAAGAGACACTTGTTCGGCAGGCTGAGGCAAAGAGGCAGTCCCGGAACCAGCGAAATCTGGGGGCTGGGGAGGGGACAGAATGTATCTGCTTTCAGTGTGGAAGAGATTGCCACTCTTGAATTGGCCTTTTTACTCACACCAGATGCTGTTTTAGGACCTCTTTCCAGAGCACGATACCATAGTCTCTTGAGACTGAAGGATGCCAATATATATGTGGTTTGGGAGTAATTTCTGTAATGCTGATTTTACTTTCCTCTTATCTGAATCCTGGAAGGCCTTCAGCAAGAGAGAGTAGAGCCCCTCGCTTAATCACCCTTGCCATCTTTTATCTTTATTTTTTAAGTTTTGTTGAGAGGGTTTTTAAAAATATTTTTTGGATTGCTGTGAGCCATCCAAGTTGCTGAGAGTTGGGCAGCATAAAAGTTTAACAAATTATTATGGTTGGTTGCACAGTCAGCCAGACGTTTAGACCGGACTTGGCAGTTTTATTTATCTTTTGAGTCCTTCTCAATAGAGTTGCTATTTTTATTATTACTATTATATGACATGACCAATTTTCCATTTCTCAGGAATTAGGAATGTAAGAACCATCTTGCCATAATTTGATATTCCCTAGATCAGTGGTGGCGAACCTTTTACTCACCGAATGCTGAACAGGTACGCGCTTCGCGCGCAAGCATGCTATTCTTGCTAACGCGTGGCTCCTCCCATGTGTGCTGCGTGTGCAACCACATTATCTGCACATGCACACGGCTTTTGCGCGTGCCCCCGTGTGCTGCGTGCGCAATCACACCATCTGTGCATTTTCGCAAGTACTCATGCGTGCATGCACAAACGTATGTGCAGGTGCGCTCCAAAGACCAGCTGGGTCTCCTGAATTGTGCGCATGCGCACCAGAGGCCCAAACACCAGCTGGGGCACACACACATGCGCAGCTGCAGGTGAGTTGGGCGACAGCTCACATGGCCAGAAAGATGGCTCTGCGTGCATACATGCCATAGGTTCGCCATCACGGCCCTAGATGTATTGAGATGGCAGCTGCCATTTGGTTTAGCCCACATGGCTAATGACAAATACCCTTTTTACATTTTTATGTTATTTGTGACAAGAAATATCAAAGTGGCAGTCCAAAACATCTGGAGGACATCAGATCTATCTTTGGTCTAAAATAGTTCTGTCAATCAGACACATAAAGAGAAAAAGAGAGAGAGAAATATTTCTCATGTTTTCACAATCACATGGCAAGCACAAACCTTTCATGTACACAAAATAGTAATATCTTGGAAAATCCATTGGGAAGAGTCAAGCAAAGTCAACAAAACCAACAACAAACCAACAAAGACTATTAGCCTAAACTTGTAGAGATGAAACCATGTCATCAAAGTTAACGCTACGCTACGGATACATTCCATTCAGAAAAATGGATTAAATCTCATCCCAGTTGTTTTTTATACAAGTAGTTCTCGACGTACGACCACAATTGTGCCAAAAATTTATGTTGCTAAGCGAGACAATTGTTACGTGAATTTTGCCCCATTTTACGACCTTTTTTGCTACAGTTATTAAATTAGTAACATATTTGTTAAGGGAATCTGCTGTTCCCACTGATTTGGCTTGCCAGAAGTTCACAATAGGTGATCACATGACCTCGGTACACAACAACCGTCATAAATATGAGTCAGTTGCCAAGCTTTTTAATTTTCATCGCGTGACCGTGGGGATGCTGTAATGGTTGCAAGTGTGAAAAATGGTCATAAATCACTTTTTTCAGTGCCGTTGTAACTTTGAACGGCCACCAAATGAAAGGTTGTAACTCGAGGACTAGCTGTCATGATGACATTTTCTGAATTGTGCACACAAAAAGAATAATTCATGACAATTGATCATTTATTTATTGGATTTATTTGTATACTACCCATTTATTATTTATTTATTATTTGGACTTATATGCCGCCCTATCTCCGAAAGGACTCAGGGCAGCTCACAACAATAAAACCCACAACAAACCCACATTTGCAAAGATTCCAATCCCGATTCAGGATTAGGGCTTTTTCTGGATCACATTGACATTCCCAATGAACTTTTCATGAGATGGGAGACAGCATTTCAATAATTAAAATAAATGGTAAACTTAAAAAGCACTGTTACCTGAATGTCTGCTTTTGTGGTGAGTTTCTCCTCTTTGGGTGAAATCTGCATTTCACTGTATTCACTGTTATTCTTGACACTTTCTATGGCACCATATTGATCAGGCTGAGAGCTTTTCACCAGGATTTTAGTCTCGTCACTGGTGTGAACAAGAGGGGATTCACGGATGCTGCACAAGTGCACCGTAAGAGAGAGCAGGAACACAAGGGCCCCAAAAAAGAACATCACATGGAATTCTGACCCCAAATATTTTCCCAAAATGGTTGCTCCCCAATCAATGGCCCCCGTCAGGTATCCCAGAGCACCTCCAAGACCTACAAGAAAAAAAGAAAGAAAAATGCTGCTCACTTTAACATAGGCAGTTTTGGTCACCACACTATAAAAAAGATGTTGAGACTCTAGAAAAAGTGCAGAGGAGAGCAACCAGGATGATTAGGGGACTGGAGACTAAAACATATGAAGAACGGTTACAGGAACTGGGCATGGCTAGTCTAGTGAAGAGAAGGACCAGGGGAGACATGATAGCAGTCTTCCAATATTTGAGGGGCTGCCACAGAGAGGAGAGGGTCCACGATCCAGAGAGAACCAGCTGAATCCCACCACTGATAAAGTCAAGCTAATAGACAGCAACTGTCCCCAACTGTACGGCTGAGGGTGGATTTTTTAAACCTGTATCTCTACAGTCCTAGTCCAGCATTCTAAACACTACATTACAAAGGCTTAGCCCCCAATCTAGTTTGACTCCCTGCCATGATTGGTAATTGCCAATGGGCAGAAATCTTAACTGGTAGATTTTGACCTAGGACTAATGACATTTGGCGTACCAAGGAAGTAAAAGTAGCATGAGTGTGATAAAAACAACTGGTAGTTTCAAGAAATCAAACTGTGATGAGCAAAATCCAGCTTCTGCTGCAAATATACATTAACTTCAAATCAAAATGAATCTGAGCTGCAGTGGGTTAGTTTGGAACCTGGAATGGTGGTAGGTAGATATGACAACATTTTCTCTGGGATTGAAAAGTGCATTTCCATAGCTTTGCCTAAAATAAGAATGAAAATATATTCTTATATCTCCATAGTCAGGAAGCTTTAGAAAACAAGTTCAACAATATGCTTGCAGTTATTCAAGTGTCATTCAGGGAATGAAACCACCATCATTAACATCATATGACTCAAGCTTATTTCATCTGAAGTCGTAAATATAATATTTGCTATAATTGAGTTTTTGTAGGCGCGAGCAATGCACACACACATTTTGTAATGTGCTCAAAAGGTCAAATTCACATAATTTGATACGGAAATAATTCTTGATTATTATCTTGACGCTGCGGCAACAGTATGGCCTAATTTGTTCTTTGCTTCAAGGGTGAAGAATTTGGAACCTTTTCAGAACAGAGGTGTGTTCTTTTCCATCTTGTAAGAAAATGAAAGGGAAATGTATAGAAAAAGCTGTAGCAAACTATCCTGTTTCCCCGAAAATAAGACCCAAACCAGAAAATAAGTCCTAGCATGATTTTTCAGGATACTTGCAATATAAGCCTTACCCCTAAAATAAGCCCCAGTTATGATTGTCAGTCAGATGGGTGCTTTTAGTACTGTATTTCCCTCAAAATAAGACCTAACCAGAAAATAAGCCCTAAAGCATCTTTTGGAGCAAAAATTGATATAAGACATAGCCTTATTTTTGGGGAAACACGGTACTTGTTTTCTTTTTTTCAAGAAAACAATGGTTTTTGTCTATTGGGTCCTCAGCAGATGAACCTGGTTTACAGGAGTCTTTACTTTTAGTGAGACTAAATACATAGCATAATCCTCTTCTCCTTGACTCCAATTGGATTCTGTGAAGTTGATTGCCCTAGAATAGGGGTGTCAAACTCAAGGCCTGTGGGCCAAATCCAGCCCACAGATGCTTAGATCTGGTCCATGGGTCCATCCTGGAAACAGCGAAGGATCGGCCCGCAGTGTCTCTGCCAGCGAAAACAGCTCATGAGGGAGTCCTCCCAAGCTCCGTTTTCACTGGCAGAGGGTTGCAGGGGCCCATTTTCACTGGCAAAGCGCTCGGGCCACCACAGGTGCCCCTGACATGAGTAATGTTGAGCTGGCCAGGCCCACTCTAGCCCCCCTGAGGTCAAACACAACCCTGATGCATCCCTCAATGAAATCGAGTTTGATACCCCTGCCCTAGGACTATAATTTTGATTTTAAAAGCAAATTAAAAACCTTCAGTGTTGAATCTTTTCTAACTCTGATAGTAAGCCAAGAGAGAGAAGACCCTTCAGATTATTTTAAAAAGACCCCAAAAATCCACTACTCCTAGAGCAGTGATGTCTAAGCTTTTTGCAATCGCGTGCCAAAAGTGGGGGGAGCGCAGGGGGGATCACGTGAGCACGTGCCCACACCCATAATTCTATGCGCCCTGACCCCCCCTCCCCTGCCTTTTGGCACATGATGGCACGGTGGGCCCGGACCGGAAGTCAGCAAATGGGCCATTTCCGGCTTCCAGAGGGCCTCCGTGGGGGTGGGGAAAGCCGTTTTCACCCTCCCCTGGAGCCTGTGGAGAATGAAAAATGGGCCTTCCCCACCCCCACGGAGGCCCTCTGGAGGCCAGAAGCAGCCTGTTTCCTGACTTCTGGTGGGCCCAGAAGGTCCGAAAATCAGCTGGCCAGTGCACATATGCAAGCTGGAGCTGAGCTTGCGTGCCCATTGATATGGCTCCACGTGCCACCTGTGGCACGCGTGCCATAGGTTCGCCATCATGGTTCTAGACTATTCCAGAGTTGTAAGATCGATGTTCAGTGTTCATTTTGGAAGAGGTTTTCTTCCCTTCCACCAGCTCCAGTAATCACAAGATTACTTTTCTAAATAAGGCTTGCAATGATGCTCTGAATCAGCTGATCCACTCAACTCAGACCTTAAGGGTGGGAAGGAAAACTCACCGACCAACGTCTGCATTTCCGGAGGAGTGAAGAAGAAGAACTATTATTTTGAGGTTTACCTGTCAGGAGCGCGTGATAATGGAGCCCCTTTTGCTTGTCCTGATGAGTGCAGACATCAAATAAATACGCCTTGATGGGACCGTCAATAAAATCAGCAGCAAAATCAAACAGCACGACTCCCAGCATGGTAATAATTATAGCCCATGTCTTCCAAGTGCCTCGATCAACATCCAGAACTGTAAGAGAAAACATCTGGCTTTGTTGATAGTTATTTTTTTATGCCACCCTTCCCCAACTTGCTGAGGTTCAATTGACCAGGTGAGGAAAGTACTTTTGTAACATGAAAACACATTTAACATGCATGTAACTCAAGTGGCACAGCTAATGTTTAATAAGGTGTACCATTACTAGATAGGGATGTGGTGGCTCAGTGGCTTAGATGCTGAGTTTGTCGATTGAAAGGTCAGCAGTTCAGCGGTTCGAATCTCTAGTGCCGTGTAACAGGGTGAGCTCCCGTTACTTGACCCAGCTTCTGCCAACCTAGCAGTTCGAAAGCACGTAAAAAATGCAAGTAGAAAAATAGGGAGGACCTTTGGTGGGAAGGTAAGAGCGTTCCGTGCGCCTTTGGCATTTAGTCATGCCAGCCACATGACCACGGAGATGTCTTCGGACAGCGCTGGCTCTTCGGCTTTGAAATGGAGATGAGCACTGCCCCCTAGAGTTGGGAGCAATTAGCACATATGTGCAAGGGGAACCTTTGCCTTACCATTACTAGATTAAATCATATGTATCTTTACTAGAGTTTCTATTTGAACACTAATAGCCTTATAAGTAGACTTTGACTTTCAACCACAATTGGGACCAGCATTTCTGTTGCTAAACAAGGCGATTATTAAGTGAGCTGTGCCCAATTTTACGACTGTTTTTTTTTTGGCTGCAGTTGTGAAGTGAATCACACTGTCAAGTGAATTTGGCATCCCCCATTGATTTTGCTTTTCAAAAGTCAGTTAGAAAGACAAAGGCCGCCAACATTGAAAGCAGTACCCAAAAAAGACTTAGCACCTATAATGAAGGATGTGAATAAGGTGCTTACAAAGATTAAAATAACATCTATCAAACGGACTAAGCAGCCTGCTTACAGTTATAGCACTGTTGGTTACAGAAGAATTGGACATCCTAATTAGAAAAATAAAAGCACGATCATATTCAATCTGAAAAATGGGAGATCATACTTGAAGCCAAGACAAAGAAATTAAAATCAGATGTGAGTAATTTAAAGAAAATGAAAGAGCAAAAACTGAAGAACGTAAGGTTCAAGACAAGCCTAATTTTTTTTTAAAAAAGAAATTGATTTAGCACCAGAAAGAAGCAGCTTTGGAAATCAAAAAGCAACACATAAAATTGAACAGTATGAGGTACAATCATCCAAGTTAACCAAACTTCACTCTTTCAATCCGTCCAGAGGTAAAAACCAAACAGAAAGGAATCAATCCAGTTTTGGAAATATAACAGTGGACAATACCCAGGATTATTTAGAAGAAAATAACATCTTTCCAGTACAATAAAAGGAAAAGCAGAAGTACAAAAAATACATTTCTGATTGATAAAATAGTTTTGGAGAATTGCAAATAGTGAAAAACCAATTTATATATGGTCTGGATCGATTATTTTTTTTAAAAAAAGGGTTTGATTCATTATTACCACATAGTAGTAATGTTTGGAAATAATTAGTGTTAGTAACAATATGTTATTAAAATGTTAATAGAAAAAATTGAAGCAATGGAAGACAGAATTGATGGTTAGAAATGAAAAAATATGGGCTTGTTAACATTAGGAAGAGAAATCTTCTAGGACTGTGATGGTGAACCTATGGCACACATGCCACAGCTGGCACGTGGAGGCCTTTCTGCGGGCACGCAAGCTGTCAGCCAGCTTAACTCCACCATACATGCACGCGTGCCTCCCACAGGCCAGCTGATTTTTGCGATATGTGGGGGAGGCGGGGGTTGTACACACACACGTGGAGGGTGGGGGGAGCGTGGGGCTGAATGGCGCACCCCACCCGCACCCTGTTTTTGGGCCCAGGAGACTACAGGGAGGCCTACTAGGCCCAAAATGGGGCATGGGGGATGCGGCATGCCTAAGGTGACCAGACGTCCCGCTTTTGGCGGGACAGTCCCGTTTTTGAGCAATTTGTCTCGCGTCCCACGGCGTTTTAAAAAAGTCCCGATTTTTCATTCTGCCTCCTGGTTCCCGGCTGCCTCCTGAATCCCCGCTGATGGCTAGAGGGAAAAAACCTGTTTAAACTCTTGCCGCGGGGCTTCAAAGGGCCGCCCTACGTTAATTAGCTCGGCTTCCCCCTCTCAGCTGATTTGCACAGGGCTCTGCTCTTGCTAAATTGCTCAGTTTTTTTTTTCCTCTTTGTGCAAACCAAGCTCAAAACGAAACTGAAAGTAAAACAGGCTGTTGGCTTTGCGGTTTGCTTGCAACGTTGGAAAATTAGGCAGCAGATTTATTTTCCTTTTCCTCACCAAAAAGGTAAGTGCAAACAATGGAAAATTATTTAGGGCAAAAGAGGAGAGTTCAAGATTTTAAAACACAAAAGAAAAAAAAGCTCTTTTTAACTAGGGAATTATAATAATTGAGATATTATTAATTGTATATTGTGTTGAAAGCAGAAATGGTTAAGTTGTGGTTTGGAGGAATATATGGGGGAAATTATTTGGTTTATTATTATTGGTAAGTATAATTAATTGATTTGTAAGAAATTGGATTGCATGGAAATAATTGGAATATTCATGTTCATATTGATTAATATACAAAAAAGATAGTTATATAACTAATTGATTTATATTAAAATGTTGAATTTGTATTAAACAACTGTATTACATAATTACATAATTAACCAATGTGAGGATGGATATAAAAATAGATGACAATGGGAAGGGGTATAAAATAGAATAGAAGGGGAAAATTGAATTTGATTAAGATTAGAGATGAGGATGAAGGGTAATATTGGTTTTTTAAAAAAAATAGATGAGGAATAAATATGGCAAAAAGGAAATATAGAAATTGTAAATTTAATTGAAATGACTAAACACTGTTTAAATTTGTGAACCAGCCAAATATTCTGTTCAAAGAAAATACATTGTATGTATGTGTGTTTCTAATTATTGCTATTTATTCATATTTGTTCTCTTTTATTCTTTAAAGTTTAACAATTCGGCTCTTAAATTTCAATTAAATTTACAATTTCTATATTTCCTTTTTGCCATATTTATTCCTCATCTATTTTTTTAAAAAATAATATTAGCCTTCATCTCATCTCTAATCTTAATCAAATTCAATTTTTTCCCTTCTATTCTATATTATATCCCTTCCCATTGTCATCTATTTTTATATCCATCCTCACATTGGTTAATTATGTAATTATGTAATACAGTTGTTTAATACAAATTCAACATTTTAATATAAATCAATTAGTTATATAATTATCTTTTTTGTATATTAATCAATGGTTGTTAAGAATGCTGCACGGGCATAAATGTGAGGATGGTCATAAGTGTGAGGACCAGTCAAAAGTGCGAGGACCTGTCAGAAATGACTTTTTTCAGCCCTCTGGTTAGTCCTTTTGTGCATATGGACTACTCAGAGGGCTGAAAAAGTTATTTTTGACTGGTCCTCGCACTTTTGACCAGTCCTCGAACTTACGACTGTCCTCACATTTTGCATTTTTGCCCTATCTTGTCATCATGGTGAAGAGAAGCAGTTGTGAAATGAGTGACATGGTTGTTAAGAATGCTGCACGGGCATAAATGTGAGGATGGTCATAAGTGTGAGGACCAGTCAAAAGTGTGAGGACCTGTCAGAAATGACTTTCCAGCCCTCTGAGTAGTCCCTATACACATAGCCATGGCCACCCGGTCACATGACCAGCTAGCCACGCCCACCCAGTCACATGGCCTCCAAGCCACGCCCACACAATAAGTCACGCCCACAATGGTGTCCTTCTTACCAATGTTAAAATCTGTTCACCTTACCCTATACACATAGCCATGGCCACCCGGTCACATGACCAGCTAGCCACGCCCACCCAGTCACATGACCAGCTAGCCACGCCCACAAAATAAGCCACGCCCACAATGTCCCTCTTTACCAATGTTAAAATCTGGTCACCTTAGGCATCCCCCTCCCCCCACAGCCCATTTTTGGGGCCTAGGAGGCTGCAGGGAGGCCTACTAGGCCCAAAACAAATCGCAGGGGGGTCATGAGTGCATGCGTGGGGGGAGCATGGGGGGTCATGCATGCATGCGCAGGGGGGCTGCATTGCATTATGGGTGCCGGCACAGATGCATGCTGTTGCATGTGCGAACGCGCACTTTTGGCACACGACAAGAAAAAAGTTAGCCATCACTGTTCTAGGACAACTCATTATCCCTCGTATTATTTGCCATTGCTATGATCCACTTTCAGTGATTCTGAAGAAAACAAATCTTGGCTACCAAACAGCAAAAAATGCTACGCAAAAAGAACTCCCGTTTGCTTTATATGATCTGAAGCTTTATCGAAAATCAAAAATCAAAATCCAGTCATTGACTGGAATACTGCAAATACTGCAAGAATTTTTAGCGCAGATCTAGCAATGGAATTTAGCCTAGGGAAATGGGCCACGGTAGTAATAAATCAGGGCACACTCACGAACAGTAATGGAATAGAAGTGCCAATTGCAAACGGCTACCCTGCTTGGATTCACACATATACAGGTAGTCCTTGACTTACAACAGTTCATTTAGTCACCATTTGAAATTACAACGGCACGGAAAAAAGGGACTTATGAACCTTTTTCACACTTATGACCTTGAATCATCCCAATGGACATGTGATGAAAGTTCAAACGCTTGGCAAATAACTCATAATGATGACGGTTGCAGTGTCCCGGGATCATGTGATTCCCCTTTTGTGACCTTCTGAAAGCAAAGCCAGACTCATATCCCAAAGAACATATCCCAAAGAAATAAAATACTTGATGATACATATCCTAACTGCAGCACGAATAACATACGCAAAAAATTGGAAACAGGAAAAAATACCAACGGAAGAAGAACTAATAGACAAAATCGTACAGTGTGCTAAAATGGATAGATTAACGAAAGAAATTAAGGAAAAAGAAGAGACAGATTATTATAGAATATGGAACAAATGGTATCAATGGCTTAACACCATCAACAAAGAAACATAAATATAAGAAGAACAGAATAAAGATGTAAATATGTATATAAACAATTCCTTATAGGCATATAAATATGAATATGGAAATCCAAAAAATAATGGTATAATCAAAACACATAGATCTCTAAAGGGGGAAACCCAAGGGGGAAAAAAAAGAAAAGAAAAATAGGAGGGAAGGAAAAAGGAAAAAAATTACTAGGCTAAGAAAAAGGGGAAGAAATACAACAGTATTAGCTGGAAAACCACTATGAAACAATGCTTAAAAAGAATAATTCATCTTTTTATCTTTATGTCGTATGTTGTGTAAATGTTTTATTTGTGTTTTAATAAAGTTTATAAATTTAAAAAAAGGAAAAAGAAAGCAAAGCCAGACTCACTGAACAGCTGTGTTACTAACTTAACATCTGCAGTAATTCACTTAACAAGTGTGGCAAGAAAAGTCAAAAAATGGGGCAAAACTCACCTAACAAATGTCTCATTTAGCAAAAGAAATTTGAGGCTCAATTGTGTTCGTAAGTTGAGGATTGCCTCTACTACATCAATACATTATGATATTCTTGCTGGAACTGGGTATGTCTAGCCTGATGCTAATAGTATTCTTGCCAAGCTAACCCCACATTTAAATCTACCCTTTCCAGCCTGAGATTCAACTAGATTTCTTTCTTGTTTATATATACAAAGTCTATGCCGTTAAACCCTGCTGACTGATCTATTGCAGATACACAACTAACACACGTAACAGCTTCAAGAATGTTCACAATCTCCAATCTCTCTCTTTAACCCTCAGTTTGCTTTTCCTGACTCAGCAACAGGTTGTGTACTCACCTGAGATGAGTGCATCTCCACTGAGGTACAAAGCCATCCCCAGGAGCATCAGAAGGCCAAGGATCAAGATAAAAGGTCTTCGCTTGCCCCACCTAGAAGTGCAATTGTCACTGACCGAACCCACCACAGGCTGCAGGAGAAATCCTAGGATGGGACTGATAAGCCATACGAAGCTATAAAGGCTTTTGGGGAGCCCCACGGTGAGCAACACAGGGGTGACAAAGGCAGCTTCGACCGCGTAGCAAAACTCACGGCCAAACATGACTGTGCTGTGCATAATCAACTGGCCTGTTCTCTTCTTGGAGAGCTTCACTGGCTTAAAAGGATCTTTCCCAGGTAAGGGTTTAAACTTTACGGTTTCTTCTTTCCTGCTGAGGGGTCCCATTCTGGCAATGCCCAAATCGCAGGACTGCAGAAGCTCGGCTGTTATCCTGCTGGGTTAGAGTCATTGGGCTCTAACTAGGAGGCTGTTCCATCAGGCATAAATCCTTGGTCAGGGCGTAGCAAAGAAAAAGAGCCAGAGGGGCCACACATATTTCCCATAGCTCGGGAATCACAAGTTACAGAGAAGGGGGAGTGGAAGGGGAAATGCGTCTGTGTCTCTGAAAGAAGATTAGCACAGTCAGAGCTCCTGGCTGGAAAGTGCCCAGCTCTTTATCACTGGAGGATTATGTCTGAGTGGATCACATGTCTACATATGGCAGGCTTCAAAGTTCTTTTGAAGGCATGTGTATATTTATGGCATAGAACAATTTAATAAGTTGTCTCTTCTTATACTGCAAGCGGTCAGGGTGTTAATGTATCTGTCAATGGTGTCAGCAAAAAAAAAGAAGAAATCTCTTATTTTATTTCAGATGATAAACAAGTGCCAAGCAGCCTTCCAGGAGAAAAACCATAGCATGAGATCTACTAGTCTTCCAGTGGGCAAAGGATCCTATGTTTTAATGCTCAGGTTTTCCTTCCTTGTGTTGCCATGGTCTATGAATGTTTGGGGTTCTTTGCCTGGATGAAGAGGAAGAGAAAGCTTCATTCAATTTACAGTTCTATTAAATCCGTTTGAACCAGGGGTGAAATACTACCGGTTCGCACCAGTTAGGGCCAACCGGTAGTAAAAAAAAAAGCTACCAGTTCCTCCAAGCCAGTATTTCCGACGATCAACTGTGCCGCGCGATTTAAAATCCCTAGAAAGCAGGAAATCCTGCTTTGTAGTGAATCTAAATCACGCGGCACAGCTGTCCCACCCCCTCACTGTTCTACTTAACTTCCCAAACCTCCTTTTTCTGTGCGAAGCGCACATTTTGTGTGTACTGTGCATTCATGCGCATGCAGCATGTGTTTGGTGTGCATTGTGCATGCGCACGCAGCATGCATTTGACGCATACTGCACAAGCACGGGCAGTGAACTGGTGGCCAACCAGGGAAGATTTCACCACTGGTTTACAACCAATGATAATCCAAGCCTATGTGATTTGCTGTTGTTTAACCATCACCAAGACTTGAAAATAAGTGCAGTACAAATCATAGAAACAACAGGAACTCTAAAGCTAGAAACTTTATTTAGAATATGAAGACGACCAAAATCCAAGGCTGAGTTAGCATTGGACATGAATCTAAACGATCTACCCCAGGGGTGGGTTCTAAAATTTTTTACTACCGGTTCTGTGGGCATGGCTTATTTTGTGGGCGTGGCTTGATGGTCATGTGACAATTCTTTAGGATTTAGCAGAGGTACTGGTCTACCAAGCTTTTAACTGCTTGCAGAGCTGTACCGGTTTACTCATTTGTTTTTGGAGGCACTGGTCTACCCATTTGTTTTTGGAGGCACTGGTCTACCCATTTATTTTTGCAGGCACCTGTCTACTCATTTGTTTTTGGAGGCACCAGTCTACCACCACACTGCCTTTTAACACTGATCAGCTGTAGGGCAGCCCTTTGAAGCCCCGTGGCAAAAGTTTAAACAGTTTTTTTCCTTATAGCCCATCAGCTAGGACTCAGGAGGCAGCAATAGATTGGGGGTGGGGCCAAATAAAAGGTAAGAATAACACGGGGGGGGCAGAACTGGTTCGGTGACTTCATATCGTCACCGCTCCCGGCTCAGCGGAACCGGGCGGAACCAAGAGGAACCCACCATTGATCTACCCATTATTTACCATGGACATGGGCCAAATCTCCATTCTAGAACCTCAGTGTCACCTCAGTAAAACCTCAGCTTCTCAACTGAGTTTCAAATTACTCTATAAAGGTTGCATCAATACAACCAGGGCTGCAAGATGCTTTGCTGATTTAGGACTGGAATTCTGTGCACAATTACTTGGGGGAATGTCCTGAAGAATTTGAAATTCTTCTCAAATTAGAGACAGGGTTGCCCACAATTGTGGTGCAGCCTTGGAGGATGATGGTTGACTATTTTGTGTGGGGGTCTTTGTGGGTTTTTTTCCCACGCGGATTTTAGTTTTTTGTAGATAATTATTCTTCAAAGTGGAAAGCTGCATCAGAAGAAAAGCAAGATGCCAGACGTGTGAAAAAGGTCAAACAAACATTTTCTCAAAGATTAAACAATAATGAGCATCAAGGTGAAATTAATTGCTTGTCACAGAGCAACAGAACTTGGGTTAACAAAGGACATTTGGAAGCCTGCAGAAATACTTAAATATGCTTTTCTTTCCTAGGATGAAAAGGGCATTTTTCCAGGCCAACATTCTTCCCCCTGTACTGTTACAGGATAGATATTCCAAGCCGTGTAGATCCAGGGAGAAAGGAAAAGTTTGACTGTTGTGTTGCTATTCAGAATAGTCCTAACTACAATCGGTTATATTTGCATCAGTTCCCAGGAAGAAGTGGTCATTACGTGATTTTCATGTCTGTTCACCTGTGTGGCAGCCATAATGAAAAAGCAGTGGCCGATGCAGGTTTGAACAGCATCTGTTTTTCCTTTTTAATTATGTGCTTTTTAATTTCCTGATTGTCCATCAAAAGACTTTTTCACTGAGTAAACACACACACATATTAGGGGACATATTTTTAAAGGGCAACAAGTGTGGAGTCCACACCCGTTTGCACTACTCAGGTGACCCTGAGGACACAGACAAACTTCCAAGCGGCCTCATCACCTCTCTAAAAAGAATGCCAATGACCAGCTGTGTGCAAGGAGTATAAATCCCTCCATTCCCCACCATCCAGTCAGAGCTGAAGAAAATTCCTGGATGAGAAGCGAAATGTCTTCAGAAGAAAAAAAACACAAGAAAATCCAGTTGCCTCCTGAGAAAGCTCCTTTGGGATTGCAGATAATATGACCCATCTTAACAGAGGCCTTCTACCTTCACTCTCATATAAAAGTGATTGTCTTTTCCAAAATTGTGATATGCACATGGATATGCATGACCTTAAAACGTGTGTTGTTTTCTAGGCTGGGTTTTTTAACGCAAAGTTTTATAGATTTCATATAGTTAACCGCAGGGGTGAAATCCAGCAGGTTCTGGAGAACCTGTAGTAGAAATTTTGAGTAGTTTGGAGAACCAGCAAATATCACCTCTGGCTGGCCCCAGAGTGGGGAGGGAATGGAGATTTTGCAGTATCCTTCCCCTGGAGTTGGGAGGGAATGGAGATTTTGCAGTATCCTTCCCCTGCCACGCTCACCAACCCACACCACACCACACCACGCCCACCAAGCCATGAACACAGAACCGGTAGTAAAAAAAACTTGGATTTCACCACTGGCAACATCCCAGGACTCTGCAATGCTTTGGATCCAAAGAACATACATAGCACGGGTGTCAAACTCACAGCCCGGGGACCGGATGCGTCATGCACTAGCCACGCCCACCCCCGGTTTAGCGAAGGGGGGAAAAGTTGCAATACGACACGTGATGTGACGACGTGAGTTTGACACCCCTGGTATATAGTATCTACTCCCAACTCCTTAAATTAAGTGTAGCTACTCCTGGGATCATGCAGCTAATCTACTAACAATATTTATGGACTGCCCCAATCTGATGGGAATGCTTTTGCTTACTCTTTTCCCTTTCAAAGTACTAAACTACATCCAGCACATAACTGAAGCAGAATGATAGCTTTTTGGGGGGGGGGAGGAATGACTCAGCCAAGCAGGGAGCGAAAACACAGCATGAAAATCAATTTCAGACACATTATGTGAAGACGATCAGTACGTGAAAGCACAATCTTGCTCTCCCATCCACATAACTCTATGATGACTCTCTGGGATGTTTCTTTCAGCTTTCCTCGTTCTCTGGAACCAATTTGCCGCCTTGTCTTCTTAGGCCACCATGCCATTCGTACGCCCGACATCCTTTCTCTAATTCCATTTCTTTGGATATGGCACTTAGCCTCAAGACGTGCCCCAGCAGCAAACTAGGACTTTTAAAACATACAATGTTCTCTCCGGATTTTAAAACTTGACTGTGTGCCATCAAGTGGATGTCAGCTTTTAGAAACCACACAGATAGCTTTTCTCCATTGCAATCTGTCCCTAATTTGGTCCATCAACACTGGCCATGGCTGGTCTAGTGAAGAGAAAGACCAGGGGAGACAGGATGGCAGTGTTCCAATATTTGAGGGGCTGCCACAGAGAGAAGGGGGATCAACCTATTTTCCAAAGCGCCCGACAAGGAATAATGGATGGAAACTGGAGAGATTTAACCTAGAAATAAGGAGAAATTTTCTGATAGTGAGAACAATCAACCAATGGAACAATTGGCCTTCAGAAGTTGTAGGAGCTTCATCACTGGAGACTTTCAAGAAGAGACTGGACTGCCATCTGTCAGAAATGGTGTAGAGTCTCCTGCTTGGGCGGGGGGTTGGACTAGATGACCTAAAAGGTCCCTTCCAACTCTGTTAATCTATTAATCTGTTACTGAGTCCAGTCCATCCACCTTGCGGCTGATTATCCTTTTCTTCTTTTTCAGTTTTATAGCTTTCTCCAGAGCTGGGTCTCTGCTTTAAAACGTATTGGTAACTTTATTAGCTGCAACCCTTTACTAGAACAATAAAACAATAATGTGCATCACTTTGCAGAGTTATAACTTTTCCGTTAAGTTTGTTTCTTTTTTTTTAATAATCTTTTTATTCTTTTTTTGAGAAATCAGATTGCTGAATAAAACTCCAAAAGGTGTGGGTTTGCTTTTTTTTTTTTTTTAATAATTGAAAGCAATGTAAATGTGTTTCTTGACCTTGGCTAAACTACCTTCTCTCCGAATAAAAGGAAGAAGCGTTTAAAGTTTTCTATTCTTTTTTTACATACTGTGTAACTGCCTTTGCCCTTTTCTTGCCAGGCTGGTAAATGGTTTTAAAACTTCCTCCATTTTTTGTATGCACCTTTACTATAGCTTAATAAATTATGAAGAATATACATTTACATTTTTTGTAATGTACAATATGCATCTTTGCAGCCTCATGCTCTGTCTGCTGTTGTTCGTGTGTCCATTATAAACAGTAGCTTAATGTTGTATGAAGTTATACATTCTAAATGTTTCATTGGGTAATTGGAATTTGCGTATCAGGAACTTTGAAACCATGCCGTAAACAGCTGTTTTGGTGGGAGAGAGTCTCTTGTAAATCAGGTCGTAAGTCAAGGAATCCTTTGTAAGAGCAAAACCGACACTGAATAAACCATCCAAAGGCTGGCATTATGTAAAAGAGCTCTCTGATTCAAATACTGGTTATTGACAGGTGGGCCAAGAAATCCTCAATTTTCATTCTCAACTCTTTCTTGCCCCTGATGCTGATATAGGTTTTTCTCAAGCAAGGCTCTACCTGATGAAACGCCTACCGTATTTTCCGGCGTATAAGACGACTGGGCGTATAAGACGACCCCCAACTTTTCCTGTTAAAATATAGGGTTTGGGCTATACTCGCCATATAAGACTGCCCCTCTTCCAATGCACACCAAATAAAAATTAAAAAACATCAACTGGCTCACCTACAATGTAAAAGCAGCTGTGCTACACCCAAAATGGTCCCTGTAACAAGCAGGAAC